GGGACAACAGCCAGCACAGGGACAACAGCCAGTACAGCTGCCAGCAGAGCCAGCACAAGGGCAAGCGGTAGCACAGGGACAAGCGGCAGCACAGGGACTAGCAGCACAAGGACTAGCAGCACAAGGACAAGCGGCACAAGGACAAGCAGCAGTACAAGGACAAGCGGCAGCACAGGGACAAGCAGCACAAGGACAACAGCCAGTGCAGGGGCAACCGCTAGCACTAGGACAACAGCCTGGGCATGATTCTGCACAGCCGCAATCACCAACACAATCGGGATTCGGACAGCAATTATCAGCAGCACAGCTAGCACAAGTCCACGTCGATAATACCCCTACCAGGGGAGACGTCTATGGCTCAGCTGCTATGGGAGCTGCCATTGGAGCGGTTCCTGGCACTGTTAGTGCCACGATACTTAAAGATCAGAATGAACAAAATAGGGAGCAAACTGCTCGTGAAGGAGAAATGAACAGGGCACAAAATCTCGAGATTGCCAATATGAAGAACAATAACGGTGGTGATGCTAGCAATACTGGTGGTGCCACTAACCCTTCTCCTTCTGCCAACCCAGCTCCTCCTATCGACCCAGGTCCTCCTATCGACCCAGCTCCTCCTGCCAACCCTGCCAACCCTGGAAGCACTGGTTACGGTAACGCTGGTAATGCTGGAAGTGCTGGCTATGGAAATGTTGGCAATCCTGGCAGTGCCGGTTATGGCAACGTTGGTAATGCTGGAAGTGCTGGCCACGGAGATACCAGTGTAGCGGGCACTACTGGTAATGCTGGAAGCACTGGGTATGGATATGCTAGTGCAGCAGGCACTTCTGGCGCTGCTGGTACCGTTAGCAATGCCGGCGCTGCTGGCAATACTGCTTATTCTACCGGTGTTACTAAGAAGCGAGGACTTCCGGAAGTGGATCAGGAAGTTGCTCGAGAAATCCAACAGATCGATGATTCTTGTACTAAGGACCTTAATAGTCGGTCCAATTTGGTCCATCATTATGAAACCGGCACTGACTGTAAGTTTCTAATTCTCAAATAGGGCACGCTGACCTACTTACTGAAATTTTATGGATCTAGCTCTTCGATTGGATGACGTTCCTCCATCCTCTACGTAGCTCTCAGAAATCCTCTCCGGCCAGCCCGAACTGGCTGCTGGCAGCCCCGTGCCAAAACCCATTGGTTCTACAAGTATCGAGCATCATGGACTCAGCGAGTAAGAAAAGAACAAACTCGAATGCTCTCTATAGGGCTCGCGGCCTCCATGGCTATGGCGATTGGGTCTCTCAAGACGGTTCAGGAAGGATGAATGAGAGTCGAGACACATTCTACTTTCATGTATTTTGATTGATGAGTTTGTATTACTCATATATTCTTTTATTCAATTCTGAAGACTTCCTATGTACTAAGCGTCTCTACTGAGACATCTGCTAGGCTTCCTCGAATATTAGTAGGCGTATCGCTCGATTCTAGTAGATGTGGAAGAGTGATATAGAGAATAAGAGTGCATTATAAACTGGCTCTGTAACTGTTCGTATATTTGTTTTCGTCAGTTCCAAAATGCTTACGCGAGTGCCCCATTGCTATTAAACTGAAGATGATGGTATATTTGGTAGAGAGACAATGATCTAAAGCCTAAACGATGCCTCAGGAAAACTATCAAGTCTAGTTACCCAGGATCTGCTGAATGACGCTCTTAAGCTCCTGTTCAGACATAATCCGCAGACCCAATCGTTCATTCCAGTTGAACTGCATGAAATCTCCACCCTTATACCCTTCCCCGTACATCATCTGGAAGTAGTAGTTGATGATTACCGACTTGTCCCCCTGCTTCAACTTCTCGTCTGACTTTGCGATCAGCTCCTTCACTGACACTTCTTCCGGAGTACCGAAGTCAATGCCAGTGACTTCAGAAACAAGCTGAGTCAGATGGCGCTCTGTGACAGCAGCCGAGCAGATATAGACGGGCTGATTAGCGGCAGCCTCGAAGTTGCTGTGGCTCTCCAGCAGCTTGACAATCGCTGTGGCGATATCAGAGAGGGTCGAAACGGCGATCGGCTTGTCACCGCCATCGTGAAAGATGGCTTTTTTGGCCATAGGGTTGGGGCCTAAGACGCCATACTTAAGGGCCATGTCAAAGAAGGCACCGTTATTGACCGAGGTCCATGTGGTGGGGCTGGAGGTACTGGGCATCACGGAGGTGAGGTACTGACGAATAAGAACCTTCTCCTTGGCAATTGGTAGATTGATGGATAGAGGGGACTCGAGCATGGTGGTGAATTCGGAGGGGATGAAACGCTTGACGGATGCAGAAATGCAGGCATCGATTATGATCTTTTCCGAGTCGAGCAGAGGGAAAGGGACAGCACTGGAGATAATCCGGTTAGAGCCATCCTGAAGTTGGCAAGTTGGGCAAGCCCCTTACATGATCACGACATCCTGTCCAGTGAAAGTTGAAACCAACTCCTCCTTGTTCTGGTAATCGACCTTGATAGATTTAAGGCCCTCTGGAGCGGACTTGCTCGAGTCCTTACGCTGGACAGCGGTCACCTCGTGGCCAGCGGCTCTTAATGCGCTAGAGATGCGAGAACCGAGAGTGCCGGTAGCCTATATGCATGTTATTAGTCTCAATGACAAGAATTGGACGGGTGTGCAAAGTATTGTACTCCAATAATAGAAACTTTTCTGACGTTGGCCATTTCAATACCGATAGAATGGTGTGTCGATAGATCTGATACTCATAGCAAAACCAGGGGGATATGGCGGCAGCTATATATAGCTTCCAGTGAAAACATATATTCCATAGTGATGATACAAGCTCGGCGTTCTGCACTTCAACAGTGCCGACTTGCTATTTCGTGTTTGAAATCAAGCCCGATCTCGGGCTTGACATCAATGCCGAGCTCAGTAAGCAATCACTACCAACATCAACCACACCAGATGCTCCTATGGACCACAGATTGACTAGAACAATTAATAGGACTATCAAAGCTGAGTTCCTTTGAATATGTTGATTTCACCCTTCCAATCCCCGCCTCCAGCACGAGGTACTACTCTATGTACAGGTTACAACGACTCCTGATTATCAAGTGGCGAGTCTCCTTTATGTGCATGTTCCATCAGTCCCCCAATATTAACGTTCTGGACGGGATAGGGCTGGGTTCATCATGTGCAATGATACCCTTCTCAAGCCATGCTTCATTTCCATTCTTCGAAGACCGAGTGCGTTTTACTCATTTTCCAATCCGTCGTAGTATACGGGCATTGATTTGTATACTTGATTACGCACGGACCACTCGCTATCGATAAAGAATCTGCGGCAAACCCCGCGGCCATAATGTAATTAATCTAGTTAATCTAGATCAATTGACGGAGTCGTCATCCTTCATACATCTCAATCACTACTACATAAACCGGAACAGATTCTTCTATCTGCGAGAACAACCCAAAATGACAGCTACAAAGACAACACCCTCTGAACGTCAAGTCAATGTTCTGTTTGTCTGTCTTGGGAACATCTGTACAGTTCATCCTTTCCCCTCCCCGCATGGGAATGAGAAGGAACCGAGACTAACCTCTTGATCACCACAGGCCGGTCTCCCATGGCCGAGGGAGTCTTTCGGAACATGGCTGCCTCCCACCCTCTAATCAACGAGATCGATTCCGCCGGCACCGGTGCTTATCATACTCACGAACCTCCTGACTCTCGCACCATGTCTACTCTCCGCCAACACGGTATTAAGAACTACAACCACGCCGCCAGAAAGGTCACCAAGGAGGACTTCTTGACGTTCGACTATCTCATGGCTATGGATAAGCACAACTTGCGCGACCTCCTGGACGTGCGCGAATCTGTCACTGCTTCCTTGAGCAAATCAAAGAAGACTGCCAAGGTTGCGGAGGTACGGTTATTTGGGGACTTTGGAGCCGGTGGAGCGTTGCATGAACGTGTTGGGGGTGGCGAGGTGGTGCAGGACCCTTATTATGGGGGTGTCAATGGGTTCGAGGAGGTTTACCAGCAGGTTGTTCGGTTTTCGAAGGGCTTTTTGGATTACCTAGAGAAGAACCAGGGTGATGAGGCGGATAACTGAACGACTATATGCGAAGGGGGTCATGCGTTTGGTGGTTTTCCCTTGCATCAGAGCGAGGTTGAGAAGAAGTGACTTAGATACCCAGCGCTTGTTTAGACCTTGATCGATTGAAGCGTGAGCCAATGCTTTGCAGGCGTGTTTAGACATCGATATAGTATGTACATGCAAGAGACAAAGAATGTAGAAAGAAGTTAAATAGATAGATTCCCAAAGATCGTCAATGTTCAAGATATTAACCAAGAATATAATACATCTACTATAAGTGTGGTATTGTACAAAAGATCTGTAGCCGATGAGCGGTCTACCACCCGTATGGTACCTCTTACCGCTCTCCAAATTATACCCAAGCTCGCTTGCTAGATCATACCTTTTCACTGATATTGATGGCCGCTCTACACCCTAATCGGATGACGCTGACTAGCGGGTCGTAGGGCCGGGCTTCTTTGGCGTCATTCTCGACAGCATGGTCCAAGTGCTCTAATTCTTCGTCGCGGATCCTTCGGAACGTCGCCAGCATATCCTTCAATTCATCGTCCAGCTCTTCCCCTCTACGTTCCGCCTCCGCCTGCCACGACAGTATCTCCCGCACTTGTTCATTATAGTGAGAGCCAATCTCCGTCTCCACAGCTTCTGTGCAGGCCATGGCAGCCTCACGTCCCATTGCTCCGGTCGACCAGCCGAGAAATGTTGCCGCAACCTCCCATATCGGATACATTGCCGTTGGTCGAACTTGATGTTTCGCAACCATCTGATTGAACGTCGAAAAGTGCCCAGCTTCTTGATCATACATGTGCTTCATTAACGGACGCAGGTGGGGATGGGAACGCACGACCTGCGGCGTTTGCGCCTTGTAAATTAAAGTAGCGGCAAGCTCTCCAGCCTGGTTGACCCGCAGGCACTATCCAAGAACTCGCGTTGTTTTTGACTGAGGACATATTTGGGTTTTGACGAACTGGGGGTTGAGTCGGGCGCTGGAGACGCATCATGCGATTTGCCCCAGAAAGGTGCATTTGCTGTGGATTTGTATCCGCGACAGCTCTGTCGCAAAGTTGACGGTGCGAGGAAATCGAACACCGGCGATGTTGGCCGGTAGGAATGGGGAAGAGGGCACCTCCGGAGTGCTGTGACGGTCTTCATCTCGGTCAGATGTTGAGACAAGTGAAGCGTGAGTGAGTCGTAGGGAAAGTGAGAGGTAGAGAAACAAAAAAATGAAGGTAGAAATTCACACGAGACGGACTGAAGACATTCATTCCGAGGTGGTCCAACCCGATCGTCTGCATTTCTTTAATTTAATCCGGCAGACGCGCGCTTAACCACCCGAACGGGCTTGGCACGACGGACGTCATGCCGACCGCGACTCTTGAAGTTAGTCGCTTCTTTTCACTTCCAAGTTCAGTCAAAGTCAACTTCTTCAACCCGCCACCCGAACTGCAGTCCCTTTGCCGGTGTCCTTATATCATTGTTCCTCTATAGCCCCCGTTATTGAACCGCTTCTCCTTGTACGAGTCATCTATAATCCTATATACGACCATTTAATACGACTCTGGAATCCGCTCCGACCAGTTAGACACTCTTTCATTGCGACTACCGCCCAGGGGTCGGCCGTTCATTATTCTCTTGCCAATCTCCTCTGCCTGGACCGGCATTTTCCGTCGCTGAGAGGCGCTTCTTTCCGACTGACTCAGCCACCTCACATTTCAGGCATCTTTTGTGTTATTCACCATGGCGGATGATCTTGATGCCGAGCTGCTCGCTCTCGCGGGTGACGCCTCAGATGAGGAGGCGTCTTCGCCCCCTAGGCAGAAGGACGCTTCTCCTTCTGCATCTCCCCCACAATCCCCTGAAGCGTCGTCAACTATGGGTCGCAAAGGAACTGCTAAGCCCGTCCGTCGAGGTCGCAAGTCACGGAAAGATGATGAAGAGGACGGAGAGGTGTACGTTCGATATTTTTCTTTTTTTCCCCCTGGTGCGAGGTCTAACTTGCGCTCATATCGTGGTGCAATACGGTGACTGACACAGTATTTTTGACCAGGTCTGCGGCTGAATCACACAACTCTCTTGACTCTGCCAGCATGGTAGAATCAGAGTCGGCGTCTGATTCGGAGGGATCAGATGCCGGTGCTGAAGACGACGGACCCATCTTCCCTTACGACAAGTTATATTATTCCTCGAAGGACAAAGAAGAAATCATGCGATGCCTGAAATTCAACGAGAGCAAATTCTCTCCGAACGAGCGCAACAGGTTGACCGCCACAATCAAGATCTAGCCCTTAGGCGCCTTTTGGCTTCCCGTGAGCGCGAAGAAGCCCGCCAAGCGAAGAAGAACAAGCGGAAAGCTAGCATGGCAAACCTAGAGGATGGTCAACGAAAGAGCTCGCGTCAGAAGACAACACTGGGTGGTCGCAAGGTCGGTGAGACCTCGGATGCTATCGAGGCGTACAAGCGACAGCGTGAGCAGAAGGGCAGGCGAGATGAACTCCGTCGTCGTGAACCGGCATCCAAGGATCAGGCCGTTCGTTCGAGAGATAACAGGGTTTCTGACGAAGATGCGGAGGGAGAGAGTGATGCTGAGTGGGATGATAGAGATCGGTCGCCATCGCTACCAAAGGATGACCCGCCAGCGGAGCTTAGGGATATCCAGCGAGCTCGTGTAGGTCGGACCAACTTCGCGCAGGTCTGTTTCTATCCTGGATTCGACGACGCCATCTCTGGCTGTTATGCACGAGTCAACATCGGCCCGAATAGGGAAACCGGCCAGAATGAGTATCGGCTTTGCCAGATTAAGAGTATGTATCGCCAATATATCGTCAACTCTTGTTTTCAAATTTGTTCCTAATCCGCCTTAGGATTCACCGAGGGTCGTCCGTATTCTATGGAGGGGCCGAATGGCCGATCGTTCGTGACGAAGCAATACGCAGTGCTTGCGCATGGGAAAGCAGAGCGGGAGTTCCCTTTTGTTGCTTGTTCAGACTCTCCTGTTACCGAGGTTTGTTTCTCACTTCTTCGTATAAACCAACTTTCTAATGGTGTCGCAGGCGGAATTCAATCGTTATCGTCAAACTATGGCTGTTGAAGACTGCAAGATGGCGACAAAATCCACGGTAGCTGAGAAGGTCGTGGATATTAACCGACTCTTGAACCATAAATTCACACCGGAAGAATTGACGGAAAAACTGAGGAAGCAAGGGTCACTGGACACCAAGTCGACTATTTTCAAGCGGATGGAGACGGAGAAGAAGCTGAAGCTTGCAAAGGCTGCGGGTGACGATGCCGAAGTCGAGAGATTAGAGTCCGAGATGGCTGGCATGAGCGCACCTAAACTTGCTTTCAGCGCGAACTCTTCGAAACCCCGTGCAGACAAGCCTTCCGAGCATGAACGTTTGTTAGAACTGAACCTCCGCAATCAGAGACTCAACACCGAAAATGTGCGTCGTGCTCAACTGGAAGAGAGAAAGGCCAGCCGAAAGGCCGCTGCAGCAGTCGCTCGCGGAGAAGCTCAGCCAAACCCGTTCATGCGCGTCAGGACACATGCCAGGACACATTACGACGCCAATGGCAATGGTACAGCACAATCAGACGCTACTAGTCGGGATGGAACCCCTGCCACTGGGTCCGATACGCCATCAAAAGTAAATACCCCCAACGGAAGCAATACTCCCTCTGGCTCCCAGAAGAAGTCCACTAAGGGTGGGGTCGCAACAATCCGTCATCGCAATATGGACGATGAGAACATTGCGGCTCTAGATCTGGACATTGACATTGAGATCTGATCCTCGACAACGCATTGCTACATACCGATGTTCACGAACTGTGTTTATCCTACGTACAGCTCTGGTTATTGGATAGCCAACGATTCTTTGATGACGTATAGACTCTTGGAGATTGGACCAGAAACAACATTCCTGTCTCCAACCGCGAAGCATCTGGCACAGCGTCGGTTCTTGTATTTGAAAACGGATGGAGTTCACTTGGCGTTACATGGCTCTACTACCGATATCTTGCATGAACATGTATTATTGAACCATTATTACCTACCTTAAAACTAAAATCCAAGCATATTGCCATTGTCTGTGACTGTCATATAGCGAGATGTCTCTAAATAACCTACAATAAAGCCCTCAATTACCAAAGCTCTTTCCAGTGTTACATTAGAATCTCCAATGAAAAATAGGGCTGTCCGCATATCACGTGTGATAAGGGAATGTGACGGCAGATCGGCGGATACGCGCTCAACACGCGGCGCGTCGTTCGTTCAGTAGTAGATTCTCCGCCCTAGATTGAACTGACATTTACTCCATACATAGCCCACTCTCCATTTTTCCACCTCCTATGACCAAAAGAATTAACCACACAGCCTACAATCGACCACTATAGTAATGATACCACTCCCAATTCCCACCTGCTAACGCGAATTCTCACATCCGACGCAACAATGTCAACCCCCTCCACACCGCGGACGGCGCGTTCCGCGTCGCCAGCAGCCAACTCACCCAAGATGCTCACCCCAGGGCAAAAGATCAAGGCAATGCTCGCTCAATTCGACAGCGACTCGGATTCAGATAGCGGAAATGCACAGCCTCAAAGATCCATCGCACGAATTACCGACACTCTCAAGAACAGCACAGTCTCGGATCACCCGTCAACCATGGATTTGGATGAAGAGGCCGAGGACGAGGACGACGATATCATTATGCCCAAGGGCCGCATGGCTGCTCGACTACAGGCCCAGAACAGTGAGAAGAACGAATCGGCATTTGATCGTGTGTCGAAGAGCTTGAGGAACGCACAGCAAGAAAAACGGGATTCGGCGGCTGATGAGGCCATGTCCGAGGATGATGACGATGACGACGATGATCTTCCTGTGGCGGGCCCACGGAGGAAACCTAATAATAAGCCGGTCGAAGAGCCTGAAGACTGTGATGTGGATAGGTCACCTTCTCGTGCGCGCGCGTTTTCGCCTCTGTTTGTGTCGTCTCCGACTCGTGATAATGCTCAGGAACGGGATGCAATGGAAGACTCGGATCAGGATGAGGCTCGGCCGAAGGCGAATGCCCGGTTCCTTGCCCTCGTTGCTCAGAAGCGCAAGGAGCGCGAGGAGAAGGAGAGAAGTGAAAATGAGAAGAGAGCCGCGAAGGTGAAGCAACGAGAGCAGTTTAGCTCGGAGATACTCTCTGGTGACGATAGTGAAGGGGATAATGAATCCGGACGAAAGCTATCACAACCTGCACGACCTGCGCGACAGGCCAGTAAGAAGGCCCTGGAAGAGATGAACAGGGAAACCCAACGAATCAGCAGAAGTATGCAATTGGTCCATCAGGCTCAGACCAAGAAGAAGATCAGCAAGGAAAGCTTCTTTGCTCGGTTTAACTTTATGCAGCCTGATCAGCAAAACGCCTCGGGGTCTGCGCCGGATAACTCGTCGACTACCGCTGATTCGCAGAATTCGTCAGATGCTGAAGCTCAGAAGAATAAGGAAACGCCGCATACCTCACCGATTCTAGGTCCATCTGAGAAGCCTTCGACTGGCAATGATGCTAATGATGCGTCCAAGGAGGCTTCAACCGAATTCCCGACATTGGACGAAATGGTTGCCAATGGCCCGCAGCAATCAGAACAACTCATCGTGGGTCACATGGAAGAACAAGCGTCCGATAAGAAACCTCAGGTCGCCGAGAAAATGAAGCAAAAGAAGGTCCTAACAATGCCACCTGTTCGTGTTCGCCTTTCTCGCGAGCAAGTAGCTCGGAACCAAAAAGACGATTCCGACAGTGATTTGGAAATTGTTACATCTCCCGCAAAGTGCCGCCGATATGCGGCATTCGAAAACCTTTCCATCAGAAGACACCAGGAGTCAGCTTCTATGATGAAACTGAAGGCCCTGGCTCAGCTCACATCTCCTCCGAAGAAGTCCAGCATGAATTATGCCGAGTTATCCGCACATCTCTTGCATCAAGCGAGGCAACAGGCAAGCAAAGAGAGGATGGAGAGAATTGAAGAGCTGAGGGCAAAGGGCGTCATCATTGAAACGGCCGACGAGCGGGCTGCGATGGAAGATGAATTAGAGAACCTTGTCGAGAAAGCCCGGAAGGAAGCTGAAGAAATTGCAAAGCAAGAGAAAGCAGCAGCTAAGGGTGAAGCGGGAGATGATGAGGATGGTGACTACGAATTCTCTGGGTCTGAGGAGGATGCCAACGAGGCTGATGAGGACGGAGAAGATGACGACGAAGAAGAGGAAGGTGATGAAGATGGTGAGAATGAAGGCGGCCTATTCGACGCCGAAGCTGGCGAAGACGAAGGATCTGACGATGACCATCCCGAGGTCATGTCATCCGAAGAGACCAGTTTGCCAACCCAGAGACGGAAACGGCCTACTCGAGTCATTAGCGACGACGAGGACGAACCTCCCGTACCCAAGACACCTGCCAGGATGACTAACCCAATTGCAGTACAATCTGTAGAGCGACCGCATATTCCCGGTTTGCCTTCTGATGACATGACTATGAGCTTAACCCAGGCATTCGCGGGAACTTTGGGCGATAATCAGCCCGACAGCCAGGCGGGATCTACAATTCCTCATTCGTTGCCTGATCCAGTCGATGGTCGACGAGGATCCGATTCACACATGATCATCAAGGATAGCCAAGAACAAAGGCTTGAACATACCGATATACTGGCGGGATATGCACAGTCTGAAATACGAGTTTCTGAATCCCCTGCTCCACGAGGGATGTCCCAGTTTTCTCAGATCCCGGACCCAACACAGGATGCTGGGTTTGTGCTATCACCATTTGATCCTTCGAAACGATTCATGAGTACACCCGCGTCCACAGTAGACACTGTTCTCATTAACCGGAACGAATCCCAAAACAACTCCCCTACTGTCGGACGGAAGGCTAAGCATCTGCATCGGGGACGGACAACTGGACTATCCGCCATTGAAGAGCAGAATGAAGGCGATTTTGAAATTGATGCCAGTGCGTTCGACGTTCTGAAGAAGGCTGTCAAGAAAAAGTCCACTGTCCCGTTTGATAAAAACAACAGTAAAGCGAGGGATGTGGTCGAAGAAGCTGCGGAGGAATCTGACGACGAATATGCTGGCCTTGGCGGCGCCAGCGACGAGGATGACGATGTGGAGGATGCATACGATCGACAGATGATTGACGACAATAGCGGAGAAACTGCCGACGAGAAACAATTGGCCGCTCTCAATGCGTATGTGATGCCATTCTGGATTAATATTAATGAGAACATATGCTGACCTTTCCGCAGACTCCATCAGAGAAATGCAGACGAGAAACAAGTAGCCAAGCTTCTCAAAGACATCACAACTGGTGCCCTTAGACGACGCAGACGGGGCGATGATGAGTTCGATTTGGACGATTCTGACGATGAGCTCCTTGCGCGTCGGCGAGAGAAACAGAGAGAATTTGCACGGATGCGAAAGGCGCTGATGGCTGACGAGAAAATTGGTGAAATTGCCGAGAACCCTAAGAAGGCTGCGTTCTTCAAGGCCGTTGAAGATCGCGATATGGACGACGATGGCCTCGATTTCCTAGAACCGGAGGAAAATTCTGAGTTCCAAGCAGAATCATCGTCGCAAGACGTGATTCCCGACTCACAACCAGATACGACTACCACTAGCGATAGCAACAAGAGGAAGAGGCCTCTTGAGCCTTCATCTGAAGAGATCAATAATCGACCTCCGCCTCATATGCGTCGCAAGCCGGCAAGTCTCATATCCAAGAAGCCAGCTAACCTTGCTGAGATCCGCGAAACCCTTTCCTTCCTGACCGAGACGCCTGAATATGACTCTTTCCACGAAGATGCAACTGTTGAAGACGACGAAGAACATGACAAGGATATGGATGGTGAGGCAGCGGATGAACAACCGTCCAACAGCCAGTCTACGGAAGAATTCGTTGCCCCGCGGCATCCACGCCGGACAAAGGGTCCTGTCGTGGATCGTCTTGCTCTGCTACGACAAGCATCATCTAACTCGGCCACGTCTGCCTCCTCTAACACCCGATTTGCTTTCCAAACTGGCGCTGGGCCCGATCCCATCGGATTCCGTCCACCCCTGCTTCGAAGGACTACGACCAGCTCTTCTTCCACCAGCAGCTCCTCCAAGTCTGACACATCGCGACGAGTATCGAAGCCTGCATCTGGTGCATCAGTTGCAAAGAAGGGTGCCGTTAACTACTATACCGCTGCCCGAGAAAAGGAACGTGAGCGGGAGCTTCGGGCCAGGACTCGTAACACTGGCACCAATATCACCGCTTTAGTGAACAAACATGCTAGCAACCGACTCGGCGCTCTTGGCAGAACTGGGCAATGGGACTAATCCAAGGCATCCAGCCAACACTTCTTGTATATATGGTAATTGTTTTTGATGTTCGGTGTTCCGGAGCATGGATGTTCTCGCCGTCATGGTCATGAATGATAATTTGGCTAGATATTTCCGATGAAGGGTGGCTGGGCGTGAATGATATTGGTTTGCATATCAAATTCAAATATCGTATCTTGATATTAATCCTTTTCTTGTACTTCCACGCTCGTTGGATACTTCTTTCCACACGTCTGGAAAACCAGTCAACCTACAACCATCATTGTATATACTATGTGTAGAGTTTGCAATTAACAACAATGAAGTGGATAGACCTCCACCATGCGATCACACCAGAGCACCCAACACGATCGAATCAATGATAAGCCTCCAGCACAGGGATCAAATCCACGAGGGACCGAATCACATTGTCGCCATCGCCACTCCTGGCATCGTCTCCACGAGCAAGGAAATACCCATCCCAACCCGCTCCAAGGGCAGCCCTATAGTCCTTCTCAAAGTCATCCCCGACGTGAACACAAGTCCAGTCACCAGGGACATCAGCCCGAGCCAAAGCCTTCGCCTGCCTCATGGCCACCTCAAAGATCCTGGGACTCGGCTTCTCCACCCCAGCCTCGTAACTCGTAATAACCAGGTCGATATCCTTGACACTGTCATTCATACCTGAGCCCTCCATCCCAGAAGAATCCCTTTCTTCAAACCCAGACAACCGCATACTATCAACCCCCTCGTCAGCCCGACAATCTCCAACACGCAACCCCAACGACTTCAACACCGCCGGAACCCGATCATCCGAGTTCGAAATCACCCCAACCAACACCCGATCAAACGGACCCAACGCCCCCTTCTCTTTTACCGCCCGAATCCGCGAAAAAAAGGGCCCCACGTCATCATACAGCGCATAACCCTCCTTACTCGCGAACCGATCAAGTAAATACCCGACCAATCCCTCGGGGAGGTCTATTTGGCCCCGAGTGTTGTTATTAGAATATTCGGCCAGGACCCGCGAAAAAGTCCCCTGGATGATCTCCCCCCACCATTGCCGGGGTCCGCCGTAGTGGCCGCGGATGACGTCGGCGCGGCCGTAGTTCGGGCGCGCTTGGGACTGCGCTTTGAACACCGGTTTGAAGGCGGAGAGCACACGCTCGGCCGTAATGGCCGTTTGGGGCAGCCCGAAGTGGTGCGCGGCCGACGCGTATTGTTCCGGTACGGATGGGCGCGGGTGGAAGAGCGTTTCGAACGCGTCCAGTGTGAGGAGGAGGGTGCGTGGCTTAGGAGCCATGGTTGTTTCTTTTTTTAAGATTTTGGGAAGAGGGGGGTGATTAAGGAGTTTGGATCATTGACGAGTTTATCGAGTATGGGGAGCGCGGGGAGATTCGATGCGGTGACACGTTAGGTAGGTTAGGGTTCGGGTTCAGTATCCAGTGAGGAGATTAGATTAGATTATCTAGTTGAGGACCTGCCGAGTCGTCTTTAACAAATTATTATATATCCATATCCATATCCATATCCATATTATATTGATCTACTATCATTTATTTCTTAATACTTTATTTCAGAAAGTGGGTGCACACGGCTCGAAACGTAGACTGCTAATTTGCTATATAGTATGTCACTGACTCATATTGTTGAAACAAATAAAGCAAAGCAAATTCCGATGGTTCTCAAAAGTCCGAAAGGTAGTCGACATCAAAGTCGAAAGTAATCTGGTTGTTGAAACCATTAGGAGAAATCAGTCCACACCGGTCAGGGCTTGAACTGTGTCAAACTCCCCTTTCATGAAGATACGACTGGGCACGCTTGGTGCAATCCTCGAACCGCCGGATGTTTGTCTTCTCATCTGCACTTTGCACCGTCTCCGGCACTAAATCAGCTTTGCCACCCAACGCCTCGCCTGTCTGTGCGAATTCATTCGCATAAATAGCAATGCCGGACGAAACCTGTGCGACTCCGTCCCGTTGCCAGTTGCCGACCGTCCAGTACTTGGCCCAAGCATCCAGTTTGAACCATACATCCACTTGAAAATTGTATACCTTCTGGTATATGAAAACAGACGAATGCGGCTTGACGGTGTACGTCTGTTCGCGTTGAGTCGTCGAAGTCGTCTCCTCTTCGGTGAATGTCTTGTGCTCTACGCCAGCTTCCGCCGTGGCAGTAATGCCCATGCCCGAGAACCCTGCGCTCACTTTGAAATTCTCCGCAGCCTCGGATCCAGTCTTGGTTCTCAGGGTGGTAGTAATTGTATTTTTCTGGGTGTAGTCATTGTCACTGGTGTTCTCGTAAGACCATATAAGCACCCACTCATAGCCGAGGAGGCGGGTGTCGACAATTTTATACAGGGCTTGGTCTCCTGCGTCATAGTACAGAGTGGATTTCTCTGAGCTAACCAGGTTGTCACCCTTGGTTATGTATCGTTGGTGCTTTGGTCCTGCCATCTTGTGCGGTGTCAGTAACACTAAGCTAACCAGCAAAACGAGGGCACTCTACCTTGGGAAGTCGAAGGCAAAATGGTTTATCGATGCAGTGTGACTTGTTTTACTGGTTCAAGAGGGAGTAGCCTTTCAGAATGAAGAGTTAATGGAGGTTGACAATCTGTTCAAGCCAGTCTGAGCCGGGGTATTTATACACGGTGTCTGCCATCCACCCCATGATTCATAGGAGAAATACGCATTTTGTGCAGTTCCTAATCCCTAACAGTACTCTCCGCTATTCCCTCTTCAAGTTCATTTTGGGAAGCTGAAGGCCCAAATACCACAGCTAGTTCAGCCAAGATTAGTTGAAACAATTTTCTAGTCCAGCTTGGTCAGAAGATCGAATCAACGAGAGCGACAGAACATGCAGGATGCAAGTCAGCCTCGGAGAGTCTACCATTTTAGGCATACTGCATGTCACGATTGTTTGCTTCCACCGGGCCCAGCTGAAAGTATGTCACGCACTTACTGTGCTAGTATGCCAGTTCTAGCAGAAGCAAGCATGCCATACGTGCATGCCACTCATTATCCAGCATATTGCCCCCCCCCCCACGTTTCTGGCGCTCTCTCCGGTTCTCCCTATGGCAATGGAGGAAGCATGTGCTTGCATCTGTATTATCATCGAGCCAGCTTTGGGTCATCTGAACCAAGCACATGAGTTCTAGACGCTCTGGAACAGCCTACAGAGTTACCCCAGAAATGAGGGGCCCCGAAGTGTCTGTGCATGAATAAACTGTTATGCCACCGGTTCCTCCCGCTTATAGGTCGTCGATCCACTCGATGCAGGTTTGCTAAGCAAGATTAACCCGTACCTACTGCGTGGCCTACTCTTTGTGAACCATCGTACGGGGCAAAGTACCACTGGTAGAAGCCTAGCATCAGTCTGGGCGACCCAAGTCTTACCAGCGAAAACGGCAATGAAACAAAAGAAGGGCCCCTGATTATTTCATGCTAACCCCCTCCCATTTTTCAGTGTGCAATATCGCCCATATTGTGCTAATTCCAGAATATGCATGTTATCATGCCCAGGTCGTAGTAGCCAGTTATTGCAGTTCCGAATAGCCCATGCTGTGGGGCTAGAAAATAAGACTAACAAATGATCTCTTTTAGTGGTATGTCCTTAAGGTACTTAGTACTAATGCCTCCACAGGTCGGTGACCTTAGCCTTCTACGGAGCTTTTTCCCCGGGAGAAACGCCACAACTACTTTTCAAGCACATGTGAATCTACGTGTCTATTATTACTTACATAATTGGTGGCGTAGCATACGCAAGGCAAGGATGGCCTGCATTAATTATGGAGGCGTCTTCCTGCGGTCGAATCGCTGAGGTAGAATACACACACAGAGAGGCAGAGAGAGCTAGAGGATGGTATAGGAGAGGGATATAAGGTTGATACAGTTCAACCAGGCCAAATAGATGCAAATCGGTACTCCGTACAGTGGATAGAGATCTAAATGGCTATGGAATCAACAGGATTCTTGCCAACGCTGAACCCCAGCCCAACCTATATAGCCACTACTATAGTCCACGTCAGAGTTATGCTAGCAGGGTTCTTACAACATAGTAAAATGTACAGAAAGGCCACGGGCCAGACTGCGGTGCTGGCAAATGATCCTTGGTCACAGATTTGACTCCCCGTATATTTGCCGTTGACTGCAGTAAAGTTCTTCGCCTCGGAAATAATATTACATGCCGGTAATTTCTATGTTTATATCCCCAGGCCACGCGGCCACCACTAATTAGAAGGGTGGTATAGATTAATACTGTACTGTTCTACCAAGTTGCATGATCTTCAGGAGATACTGGGTATAGTTTTAGAGAGGTAACTCGCCGACTGACTAGCTCGACTATGCCAGCTCCCTCATGCCCAAGCACTATTCCACCACGAAGGTGGTGTCCGTACCGCAGAGTCTATGAACTTGGTCAACCCAATACGGGCAAGGAAGTGCATTTCTCAGGCACTATTATGTTTACGCTAAAGGACGGGTGGATTGTTGACGAGATTCGTGAGGAGCAGGCCTTGACGGCTCTACAGCAATTTACATTGATGTCTCCTAATCCGGGAAAGGAGGTTAAGCATGACGCGGATGGAACTTGTGTCTGGGATGTAAGATTAGATTTCTTTGTAGGGATAAATTCGTGGCTAATAGCAGCCCTACCATGTCCTCGTAGTCCTGTATAGGAAGCTTGATTTCTTTATCGCATATGTGCCACTATAAATAACCCATTCAATGATCGACAGCAGCTGGTTATATCAGCGCGGTATACAAAAAACTGTAAGGTTAACGCTTGGCGAGTTGGCCACTTGGAAATAGTGTATAATTAGATGATATCTGGTATCTTCATTATGTTTTATTTTGGGCTACACATCGTATTCATCAGGAAGATCAATGAAGAGGGTAGTTGGAAGCGATTCCGTTAGGACCGTTAGGGTTCACTTGCCACTCGATCTGATAAGGATCAGGATATGTGGAGACCACACGTGTGTGATAAGATCGAACTGTCGGCACTTGACCTCTCTACCAATTCTTCAGACACAGATCCGGTCTTTCTAGGCAGCCCTATTTCCACTCAAGCTTTCTCCTTCAGACGGGACGCCGACCAATAAGCCGATCAACTCGGATTCTGTCTGGTTTCACGGGTGACGCGGCCGTCGTTGTCATCCCCCCACTTGGCGTGACGATAGCTCCGAGCCGGCGGACTATAATAAAGGAGCTGTAGCTAAGTCATTTGGGTTTCTCAAGAGGCTCAAGAAAGGAGAACGGGAAGGGAAATACACGAGTCATGGCAGGGCCTACTATGCCTGTGGTTCTTCTGCGAGCCTTTGTACTGCTTTTCGCACTCCTTGTCCCCAGCATCATCGCCTCGGAGCTCAACTTTCCACCCAATGCCAATCACATCTTCAATGCGATTCATTCCTCCATGCGCCAGTGGGGGTCCTCGTTGCACCATAATGGTATGTCCTTTTTCCTGGCCACCGTGCCGAAAGGAACCCAACTGTACCACGGAAATTCCTCCCCCGGCCCAGTGAACGGAACGGAATGGTTAGCCTTCGAGCCAGAGCATGCTATGGTCTTCGCAAGACCCCATCATGGCCCTCCTCCAGGCAAAGGTCCATACAAGCGGTCCCAACTGCCGCTCAAGCCGGAACATATGGAATCAGGAAAAGATCAGGATAGGGATCAAGATAAGCCAGGATACCTCCATACATACACGGCCGCAAAGGACTTGCGACTACTGTACCTCGACGGAATGTCGGCTGCCAAAACAGAAAATGGAACACTCGACTCTCAGGATCGGATCCTGCTTCGCGATGCACTCGAGGGTAGGCCCGGAATGTTGGAAGATGAACGGGCAGAACTTATCTGCCGCATGGCTCGGGACAACTACCAAGGCCGTCTGGACGGTGTCATCCGTATGGAGGCCGGGTTCGAGATAATCCTTTGTGATTTCGCCAGGGACCTCGATGAGATTCGGGTCACTCAGGTGAAGCCGGATAGAAAAGGCCCCGGCCCGCGTGGAGGCAAAGGCAAGAAGGGCCCCCTTTTTGGGGCAATGCTCTGGTACAAAGCCATCGCAGCACGGTACAATGGAATCGGGAGCAACAGGGTCATCCTCAATTATGACCATTTTGTGACGGCGTATGTCTATGGCTTGGATTTGTTTCGTTCCTCGGGTAGTAATAGTCACGTACTGCCCCGGTTGCATCATCTCTTTGCCGATGAGCTGGGCCCGATTCGGAGCGATCTGGACCATCTCATCATGAACCATGATCCTAGTGAGACCTCATTTAACTGGCAGGGAGTTGCAGATATGGTAGTGCAACGATACGCGCATGAGCTGAGCTACCTGGTCTCTGGACAGCTATCAACGCTGCAGGCACTTCACGAGGAAATCGAGAACAGTCTCGGCCCCTTCATCGACTATGACGATCGCAATACATCTCTGGAGGTCCACCGGTGCAGCATGCAGTTTGTACCTGCAGGGGCTTCCTCAGATGGGCTGGCCAGCGATGCCGTTCGATCCGTTACCCACAGTATCTGTTCGGCGATGATCGAGGCCTGGAAGCAAACAGACTACGCCGCAGCGGTCGCCCAACTTCAGAGTCTAATGGACTACTTGTCCTGGACCACATGGAAGGAATGTAAGGGATGTGCCGACAACGAAATTTGCGTGATTCCCATTTGGCCCATGGGAACAGTCGAGGACTATGAGCACCCGCAGTGTCGAGATGCGTCGAGGCCGAGTGGAGAGGGACGACGCTACTGGGGTGAGCCTGGAGGTCCCGGAGGTCCCGGAGGGCCTGAAGGACCCCGACAGTCAAGCTGGCTACAGAGAATGCTACACTACCTGCAGGCAATGATTCGATAGAGTCGTGCACCTATTTGTCAATGAGCGATGACCCTGTAAATTCTGCCGGATGCACCGTTGCGGTATATTCTTTCTTTTTCTTGCCATGTATTTCACTTACTCTATTTTTACTCTGTGACTATAGAATCCACTGCTATCAGGCTAGAGTTTCCCACCCAATTGGGGCCAAATCGCGCATCTCCCAGTGATGCATCACATCCGATGCGGGTGATCAACTGCGCCAAGCTCAATAGTTTATGCAGGTCCATCCCCAAAAGTGCACTTAACCTCGGCGATCACATCGATTCGGACAACCGGCGTAATACTACTTTAAGCTTATTATGGAGCTTTTACTAAACATGAACGGGGATTTCCTTGATCCGCTAAACCCTTTGCCACTGGAGTGGTTATAGCATGAGTCTATATGGCAGGGATCGAGAGCCTCGACCAAGAATTAATCCCTGACCATCGCCAGCCACATTGGACTTACCAATGCATGTCTTAGACAATGAACACAAATCACCCCTGAAGATGGAGACGATTTGAGGTACTCGAGAGGACAAGATGCCCAACGGACAATTCTACGAGATGTGTCGCCTGAGATACCATCTAATCATTGCCATAGGGTTGACATGTCAATATTCCCGAGTGAGGTAGAGAAACGTATCTACGAAGTAAATAGAACTTAGATAGGTACAGTACAAGATTTTCTTTAACAGCCAAGACATGCTATTACCCTTTTGCCGGTTGGCTTAAATGTTGTCCTTTGAAGCACCCGATAATCGCCAGGCCCATGGGCTTGTCACTGATCCGCCACTTCCGATGAGACTGGATAGTTCTGGATAGTCACTGCTTGGCAGGCAGGTACCCATGCATCTGGCCATGCAAATGCAAAGGAAAAAAGGCGATCAGGAGATGAGAAGACTGTATAAATATGGTCTTGTCGCGCTTCCACGTTGCTCAACAGCAAGCATTCATTCTTTCACCGGGCTTTCTGGCTCTTCTTTTATTCTTCCATTGGCAGTTATCTAACAGTCGCTCTTTTTGATTGTACATTCTTTATTCCTTCCACCATGAAAGCCACCATCCTAGCTACTATCGCTTTGGCGGCATGCAGTGCGGCCAGCCCCTTGGGCAGCGCTCACCAAGCCCGAGGCCTCCTTGGAGCTTCATCCGAGCCTTGCGACTGTGACTCGGGCGACGATGGCAACACTCCTGAGGTACCATCTCTGCCTCCTTCGGAGGGCCCTGGTCCCCTTCCAGTTCCAGTCCCGGTTCCTGGTCCTGGTGGAGTTCCACCCGTTCCTGGCATTCCTGGATTGCCTGTTCCTGGTGTTCCTGGGTTGCCGGTTCCTGGAATTCCTGGGTTGCCTACTCCCGGCCTTCCTACGGTCCCTGGACACCCGAACGATCCTGAAGACCCAGAGGATCCCGAAGACTGTGACGACCCTGAGGATCCAGAGGACCCAGAAGATCCTGAGGAACCTTCCAAGGGCGGTTGTGACGACGACGGCTGCCACGGAACCGGACACCTCATCCAGGACCTTGGCCCGCAACTCAACGACGTCCTGACCATTGTTGGTGAGCACACCGAGGAGCTCTTGCTCAAGCTCAGCCCCGGCGTTGCTGGTCTTCTGACCGGACTCGGCCTCCCTGGCTTGGGCCAGCCCGTTGGTCACATCATTAAGAGCGCTGCCACCATTGGCGAGCTCATCGCAGACTTGGGTGAGCCCGTCGAATGCCTCTTGACCGTTGTGGGACAGGACGGTGGATTCCTGTTGATTGAGCTCGAGCCCTCCATCACCGGACTCCTCACCGGACTCGGACTTCCTAGTATCGCTCAGCCCGTGGGCAGCATCGTCGGCACCGTCGGCCAGCACCTCAAGCGTGGCGATGGACTCCTCGAGGACCTTGCCCCCGTTGTGAACTGCGCTCTCAAGGTTGTCGGCGAGGACTCCAAGATTCTCCTCATTGCCTTGAGCCGGCCCATCGCTAACCTGCTCACTGGCTTGGGTCTCGGTCAGCTTGCCGAGCCTGTCGGCACTGTCATCCAGTCTGCGGCCACCGTGGGTGATCTCGTCTACGACTTGGGTGACCCTGTGGAGTGCATTCTGACCATCATCGGTGAGGACGGAGGTGCTCTACTGGTTCAACTTTCTCCTTCCATCGCCGGTCTTCTTATCGGGCTCGGACTGCCCGGTGTTGGTATCCCTGTTGGCCAGGTGGTGCAGACCCTTGGCGAGGCCTTGTAGTATGTCTTCCGGTCACTTCTCTCACCTCAGACGTGTGTACTAAGTACCATCTGCCAGATTATACTCTCGTCGACGTCCGAAACATGCCACGCGGAGCAACCGCCACGAACGAAACAGAGTTTGACCGAACAGGGACTCGATCAGCGGTCTGATGGATCTACATGTGTATATAAATGAATGTATGTACATTATTAGACTAGAAATATAGTACCATCGGAATAAGCACCTAAGCCCGACTATCCTACCAAGTTGTCCGAAGACGATACCGCGCCGTCGGATGTAAATTGATTCGCCCCACGGGGAAAAACTGCCGACGTGGAGAGGCGACGAGCCAGTTTTCTTCCCCAGATCGGACCTCGCGCCATGGCCAAGCAGCAGAATGCTAATTCAAAACGCAGTACTCAACCTCGTCACCATTGTGGGATTTGTGGGGAAGCGTGGGAATCGGGGATAAATCTTTTCCCGCCTTATGGCCGAGGGACCGTGCCCGTCATTTAAATAAATCTACAGCTGAACGACTATCTATCTCATCGAGACCAAAGACGAGAAAGTCAAGACATTCACACAATTATCTCACAATGGCTAAGTCACCGCAAGATCTTGAAATCGCCATTCTGGGCGCTGGTGCGTGAATACTGTTACTTCCCCCGGGAGCAAAGAGGAATAACTGGAAATCATTAACATTGCGGGATATGTTAGGTATGGGAGGGCTTACATGCGCCCTGGCCCTCGCCCAAGAAGGCTTCAAGAATATCGATGTCTATGAATCGGCCTCGGACCTGGGCTTCGTTGGAGCGGGTATCCAACTGGCGCCGAACATGGCCCGAGTGCTGGACCGCCTGGGCGTATGGAAGGGAATTGAAGCCGAGGCCGTAAATATCGAAGAGACCAGCGTACGAGGTATGGCATCGCGCATCTTCCCCTATTCTCTTCCAAAATGAGTGCCAATTATGCTGACCTTCGGTCCTAGTGGGTGCCACCGACTCGGAGTTGGCGCATGTTCCGCTGCAATATATCAAAGACACCTATGGATACCCGCACATGGTTGGCCACCGGTCATCGTTGTCCAACGGACTGTACCAGGGCTGTCTCCGCTACCCGAACATCAAGTTCCATTTCTCCACGTCTGCCGCGGACGTCGACTCGTTCGGCCCCCGGCCCTCCTTCACAGCGACGCCGCGCGACTCCAGCCAGGCGCCGTACCGCGTCGAGGCGGACGTGCTGCTGGGCGCCGACGGCATCAAGAGCAACACGCGGGTCGCCATGATGGACAAGCTGGGCATCCAGACCGGCGTGAAGGATACGAACCAAGCGGCATACCGAATCATGATCCACAAGGACCAGATCAAGGACGACCCGGAGCTCCTGGCGCTGATCAACGGGACCAAGGTGACGCGCTGGATCGGCGAGAAGCGGCACATCATCGCCTACCCCGTGTCCAACAACACCATCTACAACCTCTCCACCGTGCAGCCCGACACCAACTTTGCGGCCGCCACCAACGCCACCTACACGACGCGCGGATCCAAGAAAACCATGTTGGAGGTCTTCGGCGACTTCTGCCCCATGGTGCAGCGCATGCTGAGCTACGTCCCCGAGGGCGAGGTCTGCGAATGGAAGCTGCGCGTCCACGAGCCCCTGGAGACTTGGACGCACGAGTCCACCGCGCTGGTCGGCGATGCTTGCCACCCGACGTTGCCTCATCTTGCGCAGGGAGCCGCGCAGGCCATTGAAGACGGCGCCGTGATTGCCATCGCGTTGTCCCTGCTACCGGATACGACCCCCGCCTCGATCGCGAAGGCGCTAAAGGTATACGAGAAGGTTCGTAAGGAGCGGGCATATGCGCTGGTCGAGCTGGCGGCTGCATCGGGTCGCGCTCTTCATCTGGGTGACGGCGCTGCCAAGGAGGAGCGAGACAAGCAGTTCGCGGCGTTGAAGAAGGGCAACGGACCCGTTCCGGATAAGTGGGCCGATGCGGATGTGCAGAAGATCATCTATGGCTTTGATTGCCAGCAGGAGACGCGGGAGAAGTTCAATGAGTATTTCGCGTAAGCATTTGCTCTTTTCTTGGTTCTGTGATTGATGTATGATGTATTTAGAGGCTGATCTGATAGAAGGTCTCCGCGAGACGCTAAATTAGCATGAATATAGACATAGCATAGCGAGATGAATGTACAGTTATGAATTCAGCTGAATTTGCAACTTGTAGGTTTATTAGACGAGTGTTGTCTATTGTAGGTCAGCTAACCAAGCGTTGGATATAAGCCTTATTCAGGCAGCCATGTAATCACGATATCCTGGAAGAGCGAGAAGTGAGCCAAGATTCTCAAGACGAATTTTGACAATAGTACGCAGGTTGGACCCGTCAAAATCCCCTCGTATACGGAGGAGACTGGTTGAAACCTGAAATTAGAGTACGCGGCAGTGTTGCCCATTATCTGAGTACGTGTACATCTCAAACCCCAACCAAATCCACCGGGTATTCACTTGACTTGATAAGAGTGTCATGGAAGGGCTGACTGCGGCGCACATCCCAAGCATCACTTGCCTAGAAAGGGGGTGATCATCGATGCACAAACCAGTTCGTCCCGCGGAAGCAGCATATTGGCTTCCTCGACGATGCTGGCGGCGGGAGGCTTGCGGGTCTACCGAATGATGCACAGCCTGTTAGATGGCAGGAAATAAACACAAAAGATGAAGAGCTAGTCTGTACATCCACTCAAGCCACTGATTGGCTTGGAGCCTTTCTCCAGGCCTTTACTCTGTACATACTAGGCTCCTACAGCGGGTACGCTGATCCAGATATCCCGGGCAGTTCCGGGAAGATGCCTTGGCTGTCCTTCAATCGGCTACCTACTAATCACCATTCGGACAAGCGAGAGCTGAAAGACAGCATTGCTACCAATTCTAGGGGTACGGGCTACTGGAGTCTAGACCTAACTACCTATAATTTAATTTCTACCACTAAAACCCGGCCCGTGGCTGTCCACGGGTCCTGCCGATGTTTATAGACACCTCATCTCAGTTATCCACCCTACTAACAAAACTATCAGGCTGAACCGGAGAAGGTAGATTGGACTGAGTAGTACTACTGTATAAGTGGTTTCCCTTTTCTAGAGTGAGCAGGAATCTTCTGGTTGTGGTCAAAAGACCGCCGTGATGGTGGAGGGTCAATGGCATTCTAGGCCCTTTGCATTATGCCAGCCGGTCGATCAGCCTATTGACATTGACTGACCTCTGTAACTAACGCCAGAGGAGTGAAGCTCATCTCGGGGTGGCCTTGCAGCAGCCAGTTTGACTGGCTTGCCCAGCTGACGTAGTCTGACATGGCTTGAACGTACAAAGCCCTTTTAGACAATTTCTCTCTGACACTTTAGGCCTTATGCCTATGCCGATCTTTCTGCCCGAGAACCGATGCAAAAGTCCCACTGAAGATAGACATTTGAGTTCCCAGATATCCAGTTGGCTGCTTAAGTGATGAACCATGCTATAGGTGCAGCCGGAAATGGCATGGGGTTGCACTGCATTAGAGTGGGCATGTAGGCAGCCGCTTTTAGGTAGCTGATAGGGCTCGTGCGTAGGTGAACTATGAACTGTACGCGGCCGGTAAAAGCAAGCATAATTCCGAGTACACGTTTATTGGGGTGTCTCTCTATACAGCGAGGTACTTCTCTGACATATTTAAGTCTTGCTATCCTGTTTTATATTTTATCTACACCATCACCGCGGTTCTCTAACTTTCTAACTCAGGTATGTTTCGCAGATACTAGTCCTTATAGCTGTACCTTTCAGGCAAACCATCTACTAAACCCTGTTTATAAAAGCAGTGCCGGAAGCTAAACACGATGAGCCTACATGAACAAGAGCGAACCGAAGATTTGCCCTTGACATGGGCGATTATCACCTTTGTCCAGATAGATACTATTGGCAATTCCACCTGGATCAGAGCTATCCCTAATCGACTGCCCCAAAACGAGCGAAATCTGTGGATTGTGGGTCTCGAGGGAGGGCTGACCGATAGCAGGAGGGAAATCCGCTGGTCTATTCGAATCGATCTAGATGAAGATGGGTTTCATGTGAATACTGAGAAGGCGTGGAAAAGGCTAAACCAGAATCAGTGGGAAGGAGAAAACTGGAGAGTCCAAAAAGATTGTCTCGATCCTCCTGCATTTTACAAGAGGGTCAGGCAGAGTTTCTACAACAGGACCGGCTATTATGATGAAGGGAGATCTCATGAAACCTCCGCCAATATCTTGAAGGGCATGTTCCTAGGGGGGACGTACGTCGACGATGTCTAATTTTCTGCTACCGTATAGCCGTTGTGGGTTAGGAATGCCTGTTGGTATATGTTGAAATATCTTGAGGCACTAATTAGCGCTCATCCTGATGAATAGCATCTAGTGTTCCTGCCACCCGCCACAAAATATATATTACTCAAGTCGTGCGATATCTGTTGTTGTATAGTACTACAGTGTAGGAAGTCATCGAGAGATGTAGATTATCTATCGCACTGTACTGAGCACATTTAACTTATAATATAACTTATCTGAGTATTACATACCAGATTCTAATTGATCTAGCCCTTGTTGAATGGCGCTTTGGGCAGCTTTGGAGGCATTCATGGAATTAGGGCTAACTGACAACAATAAATCATACAGACATAGTCTGCGTGGGGTCACCAACAGCCTCGGCTCATCTCGGGTTAATTACTCAATAGATTCATTTCCAGAAGGATGCACGCCCTATACGATAGATATATCACACGCCCAAGAAAAAAAAAAAAAAAAAACAAGGAAAAATCAGAGAAAAAAAAAGAAAAAAAAAAAAAAAAAAGGCCGATGGCCGACGGCCGAGCTGAATCAGCAAGAATCCCCCGCCACGTCGGCAAACGTCGGCGCTCAGACTCTGTGGACTACAGCATATCCTCTCCGTCGGCCACGTTCAATTAAGATTTGCGATGGATCAGTCTCATAGGCGCAAAAATCATGTCTGCCCGTCCCTATCGCTCCAAGAGGCACCGCCCTTGCGATCAATGCCGTGAAAGGAAGCTTGGATGCCAGACGGACGGCGGCCTACCTTGTGTTCGCTGTCGTTCGGCCGATCTGCCATGCACCTTCGAGCATCCACCCCCTAAGAGGCCTCGACGTGATTCATCGGGTCATATGGTAGATCCTGCGGGCTCTGTAGCATCATCCATTGACCCGGAATCGTCCTTCTTGCCACCGCCATGGGAGGAGCCGCCCAACCATCCGGCGTCTCATATTCCCTCCCGCGGTGGTTCTGTCAACCCTGCGGTCCACCACCAGCCAGCGTTTGCTCCGCTAGAGGATTTGCCTACGAATGGGGCCGTCTCCCCTGCAGTGTCGGGCCATTTGGTCACAGTTGGCCGATCTCCCACGCAGTTTGTGCAGAGCCTGGACCAGCTCGAAGGCTTTTCGGCCCATTTGTTTGGGGCGTCTGCCGAGTCGGACCCTTGGCTCCTTCGGCATTGCTCCTTTGATGATGCCGGTGTGAAGTGCTTCTACAAGGTCCACTTTCGTAATGCAGGCGGTGTTCCGACGGCGGATAAAATTCCGGTTCATTTCATGCTTGCTGCAGATGATTTGGCTGCGTCGGCCAAGCAGGAGACATCCTGTCGCTTCAGCGGCGACACGACCCGGGAAGAGCTCAATCGCTTGGTTCCACCTGATTATGGACAACGACTGGTGTCCCTGTAAGTTCTTCGTGCCCTGAGCTCCAAGGTCATGTGCTAACGTGGACAGGTTCATCAAATATGTCTGGCCCGCATTGCCGCTCATCTCCCGCTCGCAGATGGGGCTGACTCCGTCGTGTTCGATACCCGAGCCATGGGCTCTAGAGCGCACGCCCGTGCATTTGCTGGCAGCGGTGTATGCATCTGCTCTACCGTTTGCCGCACATGACGATTACCTGTGCGTGCTGCAAACATATAACGCTCCCCCGGCGGACAGGCTCTGGCGCATGGCCTATGAGTTAATCTCCGAGGAGATCCACACACCACACCTGGCGGTGCTGCAGACAGCCTTGTTGTACCTGCATCGGCCACTTGACGAGGCCCGGGCGAGCATCGCTGACACCCCGTTTGTCTGGTCATTTGTCGGCACCGTGGTGGGTCTAGCTGAATCATTGGGCCTACACATCGAGTGTCGCATGTGGGGGATACCCGCATGGGAGAAACGTCTGCGGCGCCGGCTGTGGTGGGCCATCTATGCCGAAGACAAATGGCGCAGCTTGCTGATGGGTCGACCGCCGTATATCCATCGGAGCGAATGGGATGTGAGTGAGCTTGATGGTGCGGACTTCCTCTATCACACCAGGGGTGCTTCTTCATCGTCATCCGGGGTCCACCAGCCGCAAGATCCGGTGCCTTTCCGCTACTTGGTGGACCTGTCTGGCATCGCAGAACAGATCTATGAATCCTTCTAGTAAGTATACGAGGATGGTGTCGGCCTTAGCGCATACTAACAGTGAGACAGCACCCTTCGCAAATCACAATACCTATCGGAAAGGTTTCGTGTCTCACACGACACTGGCCGGCCCTTGCTGGAGAAGCTGAATGACTGGTACTCCTCACTGCCGGAAAGCTTCCGGCTGCCCAACTGGAGCAAGTCTGTCAGCGGACTTGCGCCGTATCCCACCTCGATCCACTTTGCCTACCTGATCCTTGTCCTGTTTGTCTACCGCGCGCTCCTTCGGCCGATGGCTCGCTCCTCCAGTCCGCCGTTAATTTTCGACCTGGACGAGATCCCCACGAACCCCTCCGCCTTGGATACAGCTGTAGATGATTCACCCGTGCTCGACTTCCTCAACATGCCTGAGATCGACTCCTTCCCTGCCGTAGAGCTGTCCGACCACAGCACGGGCGAGACGACCCTGAACTCAGCGGAGCGCTGCGCTTCGATAGTAATCAGCTTCACGCGGCGGCTGACGTCGAGCGACTTCACCGGATTCTGGTATTCATGTAAGTCACATCTGTGCCCTACCATCCCTGCACGTGGATACTGACCAACGGGTCTGTGCAGGGTCTCGCATCGGCTTCGCAACAGTCTCCAACTTCACGCTCCTCCTCTTAGTCCAAGCGCCTAATGCGGAACGAGCCGCCAAGGGCAAACAGCTTGTTGACTCCTGGCTGCGCGTGCTCCGCTGCCAGAGCCAGAGCTTCCCCACCATGAAGCTTGGCTTAACGCGACTGGACGCCATGCACTGGGTGGGACTTGGGCAGACATTCGTTCTCCCCCAGCACGTGCAAGAAGTCATTCAATCACCGGGGGATTGATAATTCTTCGGCCAATCCTTCCTGCCTCAGGTGTACCATGGTACGGAGTCCGGCAACCGTGGACTCGGCCATCGGCATCGGAGTTTTCGTATGGGCAACCAGTTCTATAAGAATGGGCTTCCCTGACGGGGTATTGTAGATAGCAGATAATAATCATAGTCACAAACACGCAATCAACCTGTACATACATACAATTCAACCGAACATAGTTGTGGTCAAGATGCCTGACTTCCTCATCGACCTTCTCAAGCGCAACAAGTCTGCTGCCAGCAAGCAGCCGCGGGACGTTCTGCCGGACTCAGCCTCGGAAATGACATTGATCGAGTAAGCTAACCGAACTATTTTCTCCTCTATCTTCAAATACAATGCTGACAGATGTCAGGAAAGCAAACGCTAGACCGCAGCACGTGCAAAAGCACACAAACAGACAAACAAACACGCGTTTCAATCGTAAGGCATCTCTACGTTATATATATTACCAGCCCTGGCTAACGTATATAGCGTCCGATCTTTGTTTCGGCTCATGCTGCCGGAACTGATCGAGAGTGAGGTTTTCCAAAGGAGCTCGTGAAACTGCCGCCATCGACATACCCAGCCAAACCCCCTTACCTAAATCTCCTGCATCGTCATCTGCCAGAAAGACAAATAGCAGATCATGGTATACGCCGCCAACATGTAAAATCGTTTATACGTTTTGCGATCGAAGGCAACGCCGCCGTGCCAGACGCACCGGAATCCAACTATGCATGCGAAGATATTGTGCAGGATGCCTGTTATGGCGAGTCCCGCTACCGTCCAATGTTGATGAGGGAGGGCAGAGCCTGGGTGTAAGAAGAGGTGGCAACGAGGAGCACAGTGCCTGACCCGATGACGAGCATTGCGGTGGCTGCTCGGAGGAGTCCTTCTCCCTTGGGTCCAACAACGACCGGAAGCGTCCGTCTCTTCATGCGTCGGTCACCCTCGGCATCGTGAAACTCCTGCACGTGTACTGTGGCAACCACCCATGCCGAGAAGAGTAGGAGGACCTTCTTCGGCATGACCGGGAAGGATGGGATCTCGCTGTGAACGATAGTGTCCACGAGTCGGAACATGTTGTACGCGCCTATCGACGCAAACGCATTCCGGAAGACCCAGTGGTTGATCTTCGGCCACACGTAGCAAAAGTATACCCAGGCTTGGTATATTCCGAATAGGCCGGCGGCTTCCGGACCCGCAAGGTGGCTGGCAATGACGGGACAGATGGCCCAACTCAGGAGCCAGCGTCGATAGGCCCCGGGGATGCAGAGCAAGCCTGCCGGGATCGGGCGGTGCGGCTTGTTGGCGATGTCTTCGTCGACGGAGAGGACTTGGTTCACGATCTCGAACACGTACAGGTGGCAGAGGAAGCAAATGAAGGTCTTGAGGAGCACCAGGGCCAGCTGGGTCCAGGGGGTCGTCAGGAGGAGGTCCGGCGCAGGCAGGAAGCGAGCGATGAGGCCGATGATGGGCAGGACTAGGCCTTCACGGATGTTGGCACGGAGTAATCGCTCCGTGATGAGAAACTCATGATGCAGAACTTGGCGAATGGACTCATGGACGCTTCTTGGGTTTACATGGTCACTTTTGAGAGGCTGGATGGTCGACCTGGAGAGGGTTAGGCACTGGGTGGAAGTGGTGGTCATCGTGATATTCAGAACATTTGGTAGGATACAAACAATCAATCAATCAAGTATTGATCAATTAGATATTCCTCGTCCACAATCTCCTAATGCCCCCTGGGCATACCGCACCACACCAGATATAAACCACGACCCGGCAATCCGGAGAACTCCCGCTGCAAACCTTAGAGTACATCAGTAGCGTTTCCAGGACTGGTCGACAACTGACCACGTCAAACAGTTAAACCTGCTTCTTCAACGAGCCCCACCTGTCAAATGCCTAAGTGACAGACCCATTTCGGGGCCGCTTGACGAGAAACTCGCCCACTCGACTATCATAATGGAGGTCGCTGGGGGCCTGGGGTGGATCAACCGGTACCGGGATTTGCATCGTTGGCGTCCCAGCGGTGCTTCCTAGCGTCTGCAAGTCGTCCATTCAGGTACATTCAGTGGCTCCATTGTGCCTTCGCTACTAGGCTAGCGCTCAGACCTGGTAAAGGCGGTCCTCGGTTCTGGGCTGGCTACAGCAACGGTCCGTTTGCTAGTTCGAGGTGTTAACCCGTCCTCTGGGATTCGAAGTGGATCTCCGCTGCATTCTGACTAAAATGGCGTGGAAATGGGGTTAGCCCAGGGCTGACGGTTTGTTATTTGCTGCATGTCTTTCTTTGTCTCTATCCTGGATGGTGCGGTATTATAATGCATGGGTTGAGATGCATTGTGCTTTATCCATATTCAAATCCCCGCGCATATATTATCGATTGTTAGCCATTCCTTATCACCGAATAGTATGAAATTGATATGGCATGATTCCTTCTGCTTCACACAGTTTCCAGGCTGAGCACGGTCCACTCGAGTCTCGGCTGAAGGATTCAACCAGCCAATCGGTCTGTCCAGAGCACGAGTGATTTGAGTATCTCATGTGTTGTCAGCCAATCTTTCGGGCCAAAGATAACGCTGATCATGAGGATCAGACATTCTGTCGGGTATTCACACTGTGGAAAATGGGAAGGGATCAGCAATTGCATACCCCCAAGTGTTCATACCATGGATATAAGGTCAATCCCTGATTTCTTCCATGGATGCATCGCACCAGTCCTTTCACTTGTCGTATGATGTAATAACTAATCCCTCATAGTTAATGATAATCCATGTCCTTAGAACTGCAAGTACTCCCCGCAAAACCATTATATTAACGGTCGTTATACGCAGGGCTAGGGAACGGGCAAACGCCGAGAGTCTTTAGAGTTGGATACCCCTCCAAGGCTTCGCTGGACGATTACTGGTCTGGCAAATGGTTCCAATGCATCGGTAAGCCTGTTGACAAATACTTTCGCTGCCTGTTGTTTGCCTTCTCCTTTGAAGAAATCGACCTCTGCTTATTGTTCATAATCCTGGGGTCCTTGGGCCGCACAGCAGAGGATCCTCCTGCGGAGAGTGCATGATGCAATGCACTGTTGGTGTCAGGCCCTACAGCGGAATTTGGACCGAGAATAATTGGTTGGTGGCTTTACGCTCCTTTCCATGTCCGTGCAAATCGAATGATTCTTGGCTGTTTACTGATACTCGTGACGAGACGCTGGTGGCGAGCGATCAAGATCAGCCAGCTGTCCGTTGGTGGCCATACACGTCAGCTTGTCAAAGTCCTCGGATATCTTGGCTGCGTATGCCTTGTAGACCGTGCAGGTGCTGTTCCTTGTAGAATTCTTTGGCCGAGAGCTTAGCTCTACATCGTTCAGGAATAGGAATCCGGTAGCAGGCACCTTGTACAACATATGCTGCATGCATATACATCAAATATGCAGAAGCAATTGCATCTGTCATGTCATTATATAGTGCTCAGCGATGTTGCCAAGATCACCGGACTCGTTTGAGTCTGTTGTGCTAAGTGTGAGTGACTTGTCATATAGTAAATGCTCAATAAAGTCCCTCTTGCCTTAGGTGTCAATTACTGCCTGACGGGGATTAAGGAGATAAGAGATAAGTCACCTGAAGATAAGATCCCATCGATCATCATCGTCGTCATTCATCCATTCCATCATCAATTTCCCATCTCAACCCCGCGGGTTCACTTGAGAAATGTCGCAACTGAACCCTGCCCCGCCCTCGACTTGCCTCAATGCCCCCTTCTAGCGTAAGTAGTCAACAGAATGCCTCCCCCAACAACAACATCCATCTCACTATCTCATCACAGACACCCTTTCGCGTTCCCTCTTCTCGTCGTCCCAATTCCTCCGCTCGGCCCAACACTGGTCCCCAGTTCGCGTCAACACCCCGTTTCGTCCTCTCCCAGCAGACCCCTCGCTCAGCCGCACAGGTACATGGCAAAGATGACCTCACTGATGGCGATGAATCTCCTCAATCCACCCCTGTCGCGAATATACGGGCCGCCAAAAGAGACCAAGATATAAGGCCAACCCAGCGCCAGAAAGAGACAATTGAAGACTCCGATGACGAACTGGGTTACAACGGAGGAATACACCGGACCTTGCCAGACGACATTACCGGGGGCCCAGACCTGGATAGTAGTCCACCAGGCGACGCAGGCGAGCTGGAGGCGGAATTCGAAGCTCTCTTCGGACCGACGACGACACGAACAAAGCGAAGGCGCGCATCGCTTGACCCGGAGATACCCTTCACCCAGCGGAGGAAACACAATGATGATATAATTCAGACGTCTTCCCCAGAGGGACCATCGCCCACGAAGGGTCGCACTCAAAAACAAAACCAAACTCCGAACCAGATATATCCCGACATAATCCCTCAGCGAACTACCACTACTCCCCAGCATTCAACACCAGCAACCATCAAACCCTCTCAACGCAACAACCCTCGCTTCATGCCATCAGCCTCCCAGGCATTCTCAAGTACCCAGCCCCAGCCAAGCTCTCGACCACTCCCCTTTGCTACACCGGGACCGACCTCCCCGAAACGGAAACCGGCGTTTCGTTCTGCCGCGCTCGCCATCCCCGTCTCAGGCCGCTGAAGACCCCTCTGCTATCCCTACCCCATTTTCACCTTCATCTCACACGCTCCGTGGCCGTGGCCGTCACCGCTCCGCAGCTCCCAGTTATCTACCCGGCGGCATGGCGGCTGAAGTGCGCAGCTGGATATTAGAAATGAGCACCAAGCGAGAACAGATGCACATGAACCATCGAAATAACACCGGCGCCGGACCTGATCTGCAAAAGTATTTCCTCGCCGTTCGTATCGCGGATGTCCGCCAGTCCGCCCTCGCTAGTTCTGGGCCGCTTGCTTTCGTGCGAGGCAAACCTGTGACGTCACTGGATGATGATGAAGACGCTTCTGGTAATCATGAGGGCAGTGAGATGAGGACCATTCTTCTTTTAGGGGCCCCGCGCTCCCAGCCAGCTGGGTTGTCGTCTCAGTATCCAGATGCTAGTCGTGTTCCTGGACTGGTTAGGGGGAACCTGGTGGGTGTTCATCGGGGATTGGTCTGGGATTTAGATTTGGAGGATAGGCTGTCTGGATATGATATACCAAGTGAGCCCGATAGCGATGGACACGGGCAATCTAGGACCACGACCAAGTGGCTGGTGTGTATGGAGTGGGATTTGATATCAGTAGATTGATAGATGGTTGCCGTGGCTATGTCCTGATATTTTTTACGACTGTATATACTATGCATGATACCCCGGGCTTGACATAATTATATGTGAATGATTTCCTCCACCGTGGGAGAGGTCCATACATTTCGTTAGATGACATATATACAAAGAATCAGAGCACAAAGTCTAACGCAATGCTTTTATCCAACCCCATATTAAAGAGAACCGGACGCCAAGAACAACCACAACAGGCATGGATCAAATCAATCAAACCCAGCCGTCTCCTTCGAAACAACCTTCAAAGCATCGACCGCAACGTTACAACCCCACTTAACCAGCTTCTGTTCCTTCCCGGAAACAACGTCCGACTTAGACACGACCTTGCGCAGGAAGAAGATCAGGCCCTTGACAATCTGGGGCGTTTCACGAGTGCGGATGAAGATTTCCATCAGGGCCTTCTCGTCCTTCTCGTCGTCGGATTTCTTGGCGTGCTTCTTGCCGCGTTTCTGCTTCTGGGATTGCTGGATGACGCTGATGAGGAGGAGCTCGACGAAGGTCTTGGATTTGGGCTGCAGGTATGCGAAATTGAGGGTCTTCAGGATGCCCAGGGTGAGGGTGTTGTCGGCGATGAGGCTGCCGTACATCTTTGCGAGGTTGACGATGGCTTTCATGGGCAGTTGGTTCTGCTCGTCCTCGTCGAAGTCGGCGTCGTCTTCTTCGTCCATGTCGCCTGTTTCGCCCATGCGCTTGAAGATGTTCCAGAGAGTGAACATGAAGGAGACTTTCAGGCGGCGGCCTGACTCGCCGCAGAGGCGACGCGCGATTAAGGTGTAGTATGGGTTGTAGGCCTCTTCTTCCATGGAGCAGTGGGTTAGCACGCGCGGGACTTCGTACTCTTGTGCTTTCTTCAGGCGGAGTTTGAGAAGCCGGACGTGCGCGTCTTGGTAGTCTGTTGCGGACATGATGGCGACAAAAATGGAGCGGCGGACGTCGGTGTTCATTCGGTGGGCTTTGGCGAGGTTGACGAAGTCTGGTTCTCCGTCGCTATCTTCTTCTTCTGCGGCGGCAGGGTTCTGCTGGTCCGCTGGGAGGTTGGAGAGTTCCTGGCGAGCGGACACTAGCGGGGCTTCTCTCCAGCTTGCGCCAACAAGCCACCATTTTCCTTTCTTTGAGGAGTTATGAATGTCATCTCGCGAGATGCTGATGGGCTCGGTGGCACGGATGACCCGGGAGTTGTTCAGAGATCCTAGGATCTTGCGCATTTTCGTGATGTGCTCGGTGGTTACGCTGGAGCCGACTCCAGCCTTTAGCTTGTTGTTTTTAAGGTCGGTGATTGTGTCGATCATGAACTTCGTGCGGACAGAGAGAGATGCTTCGCCAGCCTTGGCTACTGCCGGCTGGATAAGAAGAACGATGTCTTTCAGGGACGATGGGTCGTCTTGTCTGAGTTGTGGTCCGGAATCTATCGCTGTTAGTTTGTTGCATCCAAGCAGGTACGAGATGATTCTTACTCCTGATGATCTTGAGGAGCAATTCGGTATTCTCCTCAGTGATGTCTTGCAGAAAGAGCCGAATGTAATCGAAGATCAAGGTACTGGAGATGACATGAAAGTTGTAAAGTTGCGCGAGAAGAGACATAAGGTTGATGGACTCCTTCCCTCCGAAGCTGCCACGCTCATCGCCACGGGCGTCGAAAGTTTCAACTATCTTTTGCACGAGCTCGGCGCCAAAGTCTGTTCCAATAACTCTGTATACAGCTGCGATGAACCCTGCATGGAGAATCAGGAACGTATCTTGAAGGGCGGACCGTTCGCAAATGAGGCCGAAAAGTAGATTTATCAGTGTCGTCGTTACTTCTTTTCGTGGGTACTCCCGGTACAGCTTTTCATATTCGGCTAGAATGGAGACCAGGTTGGCCTCGGACAATTTATTCAGGTGCCCTTGAGCCTGCCTCCTTAGTCGAACAAGAGATTCCGACTCGGACCCGGATGCAGCCCGCAACGATGGAGGAATATATTTTTGTGGGCGATTCTCGTTTGTTTCTGCGACAGGAGCCACATATGGGTTTTCTCGTTTCTTCGGGACGGGCTTCTCATCTTCGCCTTCTTCGGCTTCCTCGTCATCGTCTTCATCCAGATCGTCGAACATGTCTTCATCTTCGTCAAGGTCATCCATATCATCCATGTCTTCCTCGCTCCCCAAGTCACTCCCATCTTCTTCAGAGTCACTCTCAGGCTCTAAGCCTTGCGCTTTCCTCCTCTTATTCCTTAGCCATTCGTCAGCTTCCCTTTTACGCTTACGGCCCTCATCTGCCGACCCCTCATCCAAGTCGCCTAGTAAATCGCCTAGACCATCCTCATCAAAGGACTTCGGAAGTTTTTTCCCTTTCTTAAGCCCAAGCTTTTTCTCTAGCGCAGCAATCTCGGCTTCGTCTTGGTCGAGCTTTTCTTGAACCGCTTTGGATATTTGGCGCGGACGTATTGTCTCGTCCTCCTCGCTACCACTTTCGGGCTCGGGCTTTCCGGCCTTCTTCTTGAGGATCGGTTTTGGTTGTTGTTTCGCCTGCTTTGCAGCCTTTAGCTTAGCAAACACATCCTCCTCGCCAGCTGCGTCCGACTCAGCTCCAGAGCCATCATCGAACCCTTCAAAGTCATTGTCATCGTCATCATCATCGACCCGACGGCTCGACTGTTGTCTCCCGCCGTGTCTGGAAACCGGCGCTCGTTTCGTCTTCTTCTGGTCTCGTTCTTCCCGCCGACGATCTTTCCGAGTCGCAGGTCCGTTCCGCCTTCTCTTCTTATCGCCGTAGGAATCCTTGATCCCCAACTCGTCGCGCAGGTTCCGAGGCAGCGAGGTCGTATTATGCATCGGACGCGGCATTGTGGGCCAATTATCCTCCCTCCGCAGAGTTATGTTTGCTTGAAGCTCTTGCGCAACGAAACTTTTTTTATGCCGGGAAGAAAAGCGGGCGGAGTGGAGGCGGAGAGCGATGAAAGCCAAGGCGGTGAGTCGCCCTCAACTGCGGAGGGCTTGTCTCGACCGCCCGATGTCAAGATGGTGTTTAGTGTCCAGTTCGAAACTGCAGAACAGAGGGGTCTTTGAGAATCGTTGATCTTTCAATTAGCTTGGAATAAACCCGGCTCAGTGTCTTGTTAGTTGTTGAAGGTATCTACGCCACGGAATAGGACATCCTGTCCCGGAGACATCGCACACAAGCGAATTTCATACCGTTCGTCGCAAATCTACAATGGCACCACATCTCGGCCACGAGGAGGTATGTACATCTTTGTGAACTATCCCAGTGACTTAAGAGCTTTCGATAAGAATTGATAAGAATTTGGATTTGTACTAACGACCACCAGTTCTTCTCCTCCCTCGCCGACCTCCTGTCCAAGACCTCCCAGAAAGCCCGAGGCTCCGTCTTCCTCACCCAGAAGCCTCTTATTGACACTACCGCATCGTCAGAGAACGCCTCCTCATCGCGGCCATCTATCCTCATCCGAGCAACAGACGGCAACACCAACGCTCCCAACCCGAAGAACAACAAGGTCGAGAAGAAGAAGACCGTCTCGAAAGTGAAGCTGTCGACGATAGTGGCGCCGGAGGACCTCGAGGCCTTCTATACCCGCTATGCAGAGGTCTGCAAGGCGGGGATGACGGGATTGAAGAAGAGAGATCGTAAGAAGGGCAAGGCTAAGGCGAAGGGCAGCGCGAAGGCTGCTAAGGCTTAGACATACGGGTCGACACTTTGATGGGGGTATGATTTGATGACCTGTGGAGGCAAGAGACTTGCTCTGTACGCAATGGGCCCTGGAAGTACGGACTGTGACGGGCGAAGTTTCTGAGATCGGTCCTGTTTGTTCTTTGCATTGATGGCGTTGTCTGGTCATTTTACTTTACGTTTCTATTTTCTTTTGCTTGTTCGTTTCATGTTGATATGTTAGATATACATATACCTAGACCGGTTGGTGAGCCGTGGACCTGGACCGAATGGAATGATTCCGAATGAACAATTCAATCTTATTTCCTTCATGGAATGAATAATAGCAGGGTATATTAGCTATGACTATAACTGAGCTATGCTAAATTACAAAGGGGACATTAAACAATAAATAGTCAAAGCAAAAACCCGTCCGCCAACAAACCGTACAGTAACCCAAAACCGACACATATAGTAGAAAAATGCAGAAATCGTCATCATAGAAACAGGGACGTCATAGCGAGTACAGAGAGTGCGTGGAAAGAATAGTGTGAGGCGAGAGATTGAAGCCAATAGAATAAAAAAAATCGCAAGGCAAAAGAGATACACGCCCGAGACGCCGGCAGCTAAGTTACACAACTTGCCTTGGCAGAGGATTTAATCCAACTCCCAAGAGTTGGCTTCGGATACCGACTGTTTCCTGGCACAGTCAGGTGCAAGTGGAAGATCAAAGTCGTCCACAGCCTCCTGAGGGTCCGTCATTTGATACTCATACTTGGGTTTCAACTCCCCCACAGCCGATGTCAAAGCTGGGCCTAGTACAATTCGAGCCGCTATGTGGATGAGGACAATAAACAATTGGATCGGAGGGATAAGGACCACCGTGCATGTCTTCTGAATCAGGGAGGCCGCGTTTTCCTTGTCCGAGGGGCCGGTAAGGGCTAAAGAGGACTGAGGTGGCATAGGGGAAAGTTCTCGCTCCCGAGACGCCTTGGATCGACGACGGAATTCTATGCTCATGCTGCTGAGGTTGGGGTTGGAGTCCGTGGTCTTCGATGTACCAGCATAGCTTGCAATGGACATCTGGTCATCCGGCAGTGCACCAGGCACTCGTCGAAATTCTTCCTCTGAGAAGGAAGCCCTGGGGGAAGCCGGGGGCCTAGGTGAACAGCAATCTTCGCACTTCACTTCTGGTATAGTGCGCCCTGCAGAGAAATCAACCTTCTCGAATTTTGGATTCTCCAAGTCACTCTGGTTGTTACTGCCTTCACGCAGACTGAGATCGGAGCCTTCAGTTGACGTGGTCGATGGGAAAATGGAGCCCGAATTTGATTCAGTTGGCGACGACGATAAGGGAGCGACGGAGTGGAATGAGTCAATACTAGAAGATAATGACATTTCAGGTTCCACGGGTAGTTCAGGCGTGTCTTCAAACCTTGCCAGCAAGGTCTGGAAGCTCCGTTGAGTTTCGGACACGGAGCGTCGTGGTAAATCTGTGATTTCGGGAGTATTGTTCGGCAGTGAAGGTTCATTATCGTCAGGAATAGTTTCGAGGACAGTGCTACCTTTCGTTGTGAAGCAGCTATCGTCCGTCAGATTGCCATCGGTATCTTCGCCAGCGCTCAGAAAATCAGTCAAAGCTTCTTCGCGGGCCGGACTCTTATCAAGTATGCAGGCTGGCAGGATAGGAGCGCTGTCCCTTCGTCCTTTCGGACGCCATGCTCTTTTGCGCCGCCGAACCCTGGCCTCCTCCGGTATCTCGACTGTAAACCCCCTTTTGAACGGACAGGGAGTGACTTCATAGCGGAGGACCTGCGGCAAGGCCTCTTTCATTGCCGCCACAGACTTCCTATCCTCTTCCGTTTCATTAGGAAGTTCGATACGATAATAGGTGAGAGGGCGAATGCGCAGAACAAATGTTGATTCTCCGTCCACACACCAACACTGGGAATTCTTGAGGATTGCATGAACGACACTGCCGCACTTGAGAAACACGGTCAAGCCGTGAACCTTCTCAAGCCGAAGGGGCGCAAATGCCACAGTCCGTTCTGTAGGGGATCTCCACGGAAGTGTTTCGACAGTATCCACTGGGTAATCGAAATCCGCTGGCGCGGTGCTCGACGGGATGGGGGCAAGTGCTCTTGGGGCGAAATGGACTACTTTGGCTGCGGGATGGTAGAAAAGATCATTCTCCGAAGGCCGCAGCGATTCCACACTGCGTTTGGAACGTGGATTTAATTTTGAAGGGAGAGTAGCAGACCGACGGATCTGAGGAAGCGGCGCATCCGAGGTATCGGTCATATTTCATGAGGACAAGTGAAAAGGAAGGGCGGATAACAATACAGGTTACATTGAATAGACTAACCCGATTGTAAGATAATACAGGTGTGATATGAAAAGCGAGAAAGAAAGACCGCAGTTAGTTGAGAATGAGTGTCGATAAGAGGGAGAGAATGTAGAGAATGAACGACCATTTCTGGTCCAACGTGATACGGGGGATAAAGTTCATATGATTTGCCTCGCAACAAAAACCGCGGGGGAATCAGGAACCGGGTCGTAGCCTCAGGCATAAGCTCACATGCCCCGGTGGGTCCTGCAAGCGCCTGCGGCTAGTTGGCGGCTGCTTGGCCAATCCCCTTGCGCTGCCATACAGCTCTTATGCGGTTGCCTGCGCTCTTTCTGCAGGTCCAGCAGATCCACAAAACGAAGAATACACGTTGACGATCGGATTTCTCTCCTTCACTGAAAGGATTTCGAACTACGAGGAACGCTCAAAATGCCCAATTTTGAGCCCAATGCCGTTATTCGCGGTGCTCAGCTCACGATTGTTGGAAGTGAGTCTCCCCTATACCACCATTGAGTCCGGTACTTCCGGATAGCCCTTTGTATCTTGAAGAGGATATCTTTGATTCTCGGTCTGGATTCCGATCTCCAGATCATCGGGCCACAAACGCCAATCGACCATGGTTATCAAACGATGATTCCATGGCCCTCAACAATCAATAAGGCCATGGATGGAGATCCTCTTGGCATCTTAACTAGTGGATGTGTGGCTGACCAAATGGGCAACAGCTGTGCGAGCACTGCGGAACCCAGAACTTTTCAAGCATGAGCACTTCCGACAGGCGGCTTTTGCGGTAGCTGTAGGAGTCGCCATTGAATTAATTATTCAGATCCCCGTATGTCCCTAGACCCGCAACGGGAAATGATCTACAGCACTGACGGTCCCCTTTAGATCATCGGGGTCAAGTTTCTACTATGGATCCTATCTTGGATGGCCGACTTAGAGAGCGCGACTTGGGACGATGCTCTTCTTGAAAGTCTTAATTTCCTGAGCAAATCAGTCCTTCAAGTTCCCTTCCTGGTGATGACACTCATGCGATACATCACCCCAACTCTCGATGAAATGTAAGTCTCTCGTTGTTTCGTACCATGGAGTTCATGTACTGATTAGATAGCTTTATGGAATCGATAAAATGGGTCGACTCAACTTATGTTGACAAACATAAGGCGGATGATCCCAAGACTTTACGGGCCATGTACTACCCAAGCCTGGCGATGTACTCTACCAAGGGGAGTGTTGGGGTGTCCAAGCCAAAAGGTGAATCGGCTCTCGTATTCGTCCGTCGCTATGGGCGCAAGGTCGGGATGATGCTTGGTATCTTTTTGCTGTCGCTTCTTCCAATCGTTGGGCGATTTGTGATGCCTGTGGCTTCGTTCTTTTCTTTCCAAAAGATGGTGGGCCCAGCCCCTGCCGCTGCTATCTTCGGGACCGGCCTCGTGCTCCCCAAGCGTTACCTGGTTACCTTCCTCCACAGCTACTACGCTTCCCGCAGTTTGATGCGTGAACTCGTGAGTACTCATGAATGCTGCCAACCCTGCAAGGCCATGTATGACATCTAACCATTCAAATAGCTGGAGCCATACTTCTGCCGCATCCGATATACTCACGAACAGAAGCGCCGCTGGTTTGCGGATCGGGAAGGTGTTCTATTTGGTTTTGCCTTTGCCTTCACTGTTGTGCTGAAGACACCGTTTATCGGAGTTCTCATGTACGGTATTGCGCAAGCATCCACGGCCTACCTGGTTACCAAGATCACTGATCCTCCACCGGTGCCCGCGGAGAGTGAAGGCTTTGCTGAAAGCCAGGTGACCTGGAAGAATAAGCATGATTTCCTGCAGCTGTCTCTGGAGAACATTGACAAGATCAACCTTGCTGCGCAGAGTAAGAAGGACGGTGGCAGGGCTGATGAACCGGATGCGCTTCGGCGGAAGTTCGCCTAGACTAGGGTGTTCATACAGGATCCATAGATGTGTTGTTAATTGCATGTGGTCCTCGATATAGGAGAGCCGATGCCGAGGAGATAAGAGAAGCCGAAGATCTGGTTGGCTGGTGTTCTCCACGTCACCACTGATGCTTAACTTGGAGACGGCGCGGAACCGATTCCGGCCTCTCCAATGAGATAGAAATATAGAACGCCTTGTATTGATTCCTGCCGGCCAGGCCCGCTGATAAGCGCGATAAGTCGATCGTTTTCGTAATCTCCAGCTGCGGGGTTGGTCAAACAATGAATAAGTCGAAAGATAATCAATCAGTTGTTTGGCGCTTGAGGGGAAAGAGTTACATTCGCCTCCTCATGCGGAGTTGCAGTCTGAGCCCTCTTAAAGGCGCTGTGCTCCCCGTCACAGTTTCTCATCGTGGATACATCCATAAGCAAATATCAATCGCAAGCAGATATCAGTATCAATATGGGACACAAGGGCATTCGCACAGCTCTCAAGGTCGATCTGGACAAGCCAGCTTGGGAACAACCTGGGTTACATGTATGTCCTTATACCTCGCCTATGTATCCCCTGTCAGTACTAACCAATGCTCTAGAACCGCTGGCACCCGGATGGTATATAGACTCTTTCTATACCTTCCGATCAACACCTGTAGCATCTTTACTAACCATATATCTTATTATCAGTTCCATTCTGCGGTAAAATCGCCAACAATGAAGTCGTCAAGATTGAATGTCTGGACTGGACCGGAGGACAGATCAAGAACAACGACTCGGCTGACGACATCAAGAATGTCGACCTGACGCAGATTCACTACCTGTCGGGCCCATTCGACATTGAGACTGCCGAGCCCGGGGATGTCCTTGTGGTAGAAATCCAAGATGTTCAGCCTTTCCAAGACCAGCCCTGGGGGTTCTCTGGGGTGTTTCACAAGCAAAATGGGGGAGGCTTTTTGGACGAGATTTATCCTGAATCGTATGAAAGAACCCCTTACGAGAGATACCACCCTTCTTGCGCAGACGCCTAGAAAAACTAACCTGGATTTGTATAGAGCAAAGGCGATCTGGGATTTCGAAGGCATCTTTTGTTCCTCTCGCCATATCCCTCATGTACGCTTCGCAGGCCTCATTCATCCCGGTATGCTGGGATGTGCACCCTCTGCAGAGGTTCTCGCAGAGTGGAATCGCCGTGAAGGCGAGTTGATCGCAGCCAATACAACTAGTCGCGATGTTGCGAAGCCACCTGAGCCCAAGTGTGCACATGCTGGTAGCGCGGAAGGGAGCCTCAAGGAAAGAATTGCAAAAGAAGGAGCTCGGACTATTCCTGTATGTCCCAGTCCAGCAGAGCCATCATCTGAGCTAACAAACGCAGGGTCGCCCCGAAAATGGAGGAAACTGTGACATCAAGAACCTCTCCCGAGGCTCCAAAGTGTACCTTCCAGTCCACGTCCCAGGAGCTAAATTCTCCGTAGGAGACCTGCACTTCTCACAAGGTGATGGGGAAGTCTCCTTCTGCGGTGCCATTGAAATGGCAGGTGTAATTACTCTGAAGTTCACCGTGATGAAGGGCGGCATGGCCAAGTTAGGCATGAAGTCGCCGATTTTCCATCCCGGCCCGGTTGAGCCACAGTTTGGTCCTGGTCGATATCTCACCTTCGAGGGATTCTCAGTCGATGAGCACGGGAAACAACACTGCCTCGATGCTACTGTTGCTTATCGACAGACATGTCTCCGCGTGATCGAGTACCTTCGTCGGTATGGCTACAGTGACTACCAGGTTTATTTACTACTCAGCTGTGCCCCGGTTCAAGGCCATATTGCCGGCATAGTGGATATTCCAAACGCCTGCACCACCATGGGGGTGCCGATGGATATCTTTGATTTTGATATCAGACCTGAGGCGGAAGTTGTTAAACTGGATATGGGTAGCTGCGCATTTGCTAGCAACTAATCCAGTTATGGATTGCATGTGTTGTGGCAAGTACGAAAGATCAATGAACGATTCAGATTGAATTTCCCCTTCCCTTATATTTCTTGAGTGATTAGCAATAGGATCATTCCCAGAGGGATTCTTGTGAAACCACGGAGGTAGAAGCCTGGCAGCCACATTGGATGCAGCTCAAGTCAGGTTGAAAACTTATCTCTAGGAGTAGGCTCGATTTATCCTGTCACAATATACCCTTATGAACATACCAGATTTCAATTTTAACACACTCTATACATAATAATCATTGAGTAGTAACAGCTATCCACTGGTACTATTCGTTATTCTTCTGTTAAGTCCTTAATAAACGTTAGTAAGTTAGGGATAGCAAATCTAGGAGCACTTCAAGTTCTCTCCCACTAGTAGTATGAGAAACATTCACCAAGAGAACCTTGATTATAAGTGTGCCAGCAAACCAACAGAAAAAACATCCATGCCGAACAATCGATGAGCTCTCTATGAGTGTGAAGAGCCCTCTTTGATATCTCAACATTAAACACTATCCCTATCTATATTGTGCGCTAGTACCGGTTCATTGGGAGGGCTCCTTCTGACATTCATTCTCAACGGCATCCGTGCCTAGAAGAGGGTTCCATTGCATAATATCCCATTCAGAATCTTACCTGGCACGCCATACTCATTTGCCGACCATTCGGAACCCTAGGTCTTGCAGAGAGGCAGACCTGCAGGTGTTGCGGATAAATAAACATGAAGGTTCTCTTTCTATATTCTTTCCATGCCCTATTGCATTAGATGCCTTGCGGCCCCATGGTGTTGAAATATATTACTTTTTTCACTCCATATTTTCTACATCAGAAAAGGAATATTGTTTCCAGTTGATAACTCCGGTATAAAGATTAAAATACTGACTGTCTACTAATGGCTCGTTGTCCAATGCTTGCGATTCTTCGTCTCCGTCTTCATGTTTGATATAGTAGCCAACAATTGTAGAGTCACTGCTCCATCCTTTATCCGCTGGCTCAAGAACTGCAACCACTGGAATTGCAGTTGTGTCTTCAAAGCTGCCTTTTATGATGCTGGACTTGGCTTTCAGCTACATACAACGCAGGGAAGGAGGAGCGTTTCGGGCATTGATATGCGTCATGCGGATCATCATCTATATATGCCGCCACCGCAACACAGAAGATCTTGTATTAAGTTGCTTTGCGTAGAAAGTATCAGGGGGAAAGACACGGCTCGAATGTTCCATCTTTAGTGCTCCTTTATATAATCGTCCTCCGGGCGAATGATGGTCACCATTTCAGGGGATGGGATTAGACAAAAAAGCACACTTGCAGGCAGGCGGAAACTAGCCAGGGGTGTACAGCTTTCTTATATTATCCCATGAGTCATTTGGTCAACTCTTGAAGAAACATGAATGGCGCAGTGTCTTTGCAAATACATAGTTCTAGGCAGCCATAATGTCGATCTTAAAGCAAAGTGGATCAAAATGTCTCACACTGACTCACCTTCTTCTACTATGAAGGGTATTGTTATATCACCTATCTAATCCGGAGTAACCCTAAGAAAGCATCAACATGATGGTCATCTCAACCGCCGAGCAGCTACTGCGGCACCTGCAATTCGCCGCCTCTGTAATCACTCTGCTCTTCACTTTTGTCTCTTTTCTTGTTAATCATGGATCCTCTACAACTGGAAAGACGTCCGGTCCGCGTAAATCTGCTGTCGTTGTCGGTTCAATCGGGTGCATGTTCGCATATCATCTCGTTCAAGTCATCACTGTTTTCCGAGGGGGCCATGAGCTTGTACAAATACAGGACCGCCTTATGACTACGATCATCCTGTCCTTAGCATGGGGCTCGCTTTGCGCACGCAGACACTCTTGGTTACCAGAATTAACCGGCATCTGTGTTATTTCACTCGTCTCCGGGGTTCCGGTCTTGGTCGTGGATACAATATATAGAGCCCGCTCCTCCACATACAAAGTCCTACTTGTTGCGGAATACTTTACACTAGCTCATGCGACTTTCTTGCTAGCGTACTGTTTGATCATTTATGTGCGCTTGCGGATGACGAGGGCGAGGCTAGCCGAGGAGGAAACGAGGTCCGGCCCCAGCGACTCAGACAGTCTTATAACGTCCGGGCGATACCACGACCATTGCAGCAACCAGGACTCAGACTCGGAATCAGATGCAGACAGCTCTGATGAGGGAGATGAAGAAGATGCTGACACTCGGACCGGGGAGCTTCGCAAGTCAGGTCATTGGATAGACTACCTCTCGAACTTCAAGGTCTTCCTACCGTTCCTCATCCCGCGAAAGGATATCAAGGTTCAGTTGTGCTTTCTAGTCTGCGTACTATGCTTGATTACCGACCGTGTGTTGAATGTGGTGGTGCCCACTCAGCTGGGTAGCATCGCGAACAAGCTTTTCACACAAGAGCTTGCTCTTTCAGATCTCGGGATATACTTTGCTTTAAACATCCTCCACGGGCAGTCAGGGTTGGAGATGCTCATGTCGCTGGCTAAGATCCCCATCCAGCAGTTCTCTTACAGACAGCTCACCAACGCCGCCTTCAGCCACGTCATGGACCTCACGATGGAATTCCACTCTGAGCGAGACTCTGCCGAGGTCATGAAGTCTATCGAGCAAGGTGCCGCGCTCACGAATGTCCTGGAAACCGGCTTCCTAGAGATAGCTCCAGCGGTGATTGACCTGTTCGTTGCATTTGTCCTTCTTTACGTCAAATTCAACTCACTCGCGGCATTGTGCATGCTTATTGCAACGCTGACATTTCTGTCACTGGAAGTCGCCGCATCCCGCTGGAATGTCGACAATCGCCGGCAGCTGACGAAGGCTGAACGAGGCGAGGCGCGTGTGATGCATTAAGCCATTCAGGGATGGCTGACGGTTTCATCATTCAACATGTTTGCGTACGAGAAACGCCGCTTTGCAGAGGCAGTCGACAACAACCTCACTGCAAAACGAAAGTGGTCCTGTCGAGATGTGTACTCGACTGGCTTAATGGAGGCATGCTTTCCTGCTTCTTTTGTAGTCCTTGCATGCGTCGTCGCCCATGAGATCAGTCAAGGCCAGGCGTCGCCAGGAGACTTTGTTTTCCTCATACAGTACTGGGATTATCTCATTTGGCCGATCAAGTATTTGACCAAGGATTACAGGTGGCTGATCGGAGACTTGATCGATGCTGAACGGCTGCTGGACCTGCTTACCACCAAGCCGACGGTGCCTGACAAGTGCGACGCGTTCGATCTTGGTCCGGTCCAGGGATACGTTGAATTTCAGAATGTGTGCTTTGCATACAACACCAAGGACCCAGCTATCCGTGATATCAATATCTCTGCAGCGCCCGGGGCCATCATCGCCTTAGTTGGTGCCACCGGAGCTGGAAAGTCTTCGCTAGTGAAGCTATTACTTCGCCATTACGATGTAACGTCCGGGAGTATCATGATCGACGGCCTTGATATTCGCGACGTAACAAAAAGTTCTCTGCGGGATGCTTTGGGCATTGTACCGCAAAACCCGATCCTTTTCAACGCTTCGATTAAGGATAACCTTCGGTACGCCAATGTGGATGCCTCCGACGAAGAGATATATCGAGCATGTCAAGCAGCTGCCATCCATGACAAGATTCTCACTTTTCCACAGGGCTACCAGACCAAAGTCGGTGAGCAGGGTGTCAAATTATCTGGCGGCGAGGTCCAGCGCCTAGCGATTGCGCGAGCTATTCTGAAGAATCCACCCATTCTCATACTGGACGAGGCCACCAGTGCTGTCGATACAGAAACAGAGGCCAAAATACAGGAAGCGCTCAGATATCTCATCAAGGACCGGACTACTTTCGTTATCGCACACCGGCTTTCAACGGTGGTCAAGGCAGATCGCATCTTTGTGCTGGAAAACGGTAGCATTGCTGAAAGTGGGACCCATCGGGAATTGCTTGAAAACCAAGGTCGATACTACAGCCTCTGGCATACACAACTGCATGAAAACGGGGATCCTATGATGTTGGATATAGAGTCTACTGACTGAATTGAGTTCATGGTGGCTATACCCTGCAGAGACCATGCTAGGCAAACCCCAGAGACTACTAAGATTGCCTAACCCAGTCGTATCTAAGAAGACTTCCCGCGGGCTCTCGAAGCCCGAGCAAAGGCAGTTGCATAGTTTGAGAAATCCATTCTCTTCTCCACGAATGACTCCTGCTCGGAGTCCCTCCTGGTCTATGATATTGGGCCCGGCGGGTTCCCCTCCTACCGGGAGGATGCTGGTCGTCAAACGGGGGTGTGACTTTGTGCTCTTTAACATGGTTGAGAAGCTGGCTGATGCGGGTTTGCTGAAGAGTGTTAAGACTGGGACAACATTGTTTTGAAATGACTGGTGTGCAGCAGTTTATCGTTGTTGGCTGCAACTTGCATTCCTCTTGTTTCTTCTTTCATCTTGCGAAATGTGATTGACACCTATCATATTCCTATGGTGAATTTGTATCCAGTCTTGTTTTCACTACCTAACAAGTGATAGGGAAAAGGCTCGCCAGGAGATGCAGGAGTGCTACACTTCTTTTATGCGATAGATAAATGTCATTATGTCATTGTGCTAGAACAAGCTATCAAATAGCTTCGTACAGAGGGCGCTTAAAGCCGACTCTTGTCACCAATTTTAGTCCACTCATTCTCTCCAACTTCCTGGAAATCCATCACTTTATTCGGACCTCCAAACCGATTTTGCGTGTCCTTCCAGTCTCGTTGGGCGGCAATCTCAGGTCTCCACCGCAATACATGCTTCAGTTCCTTCTGCAGGTTTCCCTCCAGGGCATCCGCTATGAACCCGCCGATGGTAGGCATTTGCATGGCCCCATTGCCCGACCCACCGACGGCAAGCAGCAACGAGCGGTACTCAGGGTGCCTGTCAATCAAGAAGGCGCGATCCACGGTATCAGCATCCCAGCATATACGAGCAAAGGCCAGTGGGCGATCGGCAAGATGAGGCATCGTGTCACGGAGGAAGTCCCTTGCACGGGCCTCAGCCTCGAGAGGGATCTGATGCTTCGCAAACGGGATACTGCGCACCTCGCCGCCGTGCTTCGGGTCCGGGACGAAGTTGCAATACCCAGGATGCTCGTCGCAGATCTTCAGTTCGTGGTTGTCCTCATCGGGTTCCATGAAGAACCCCTTTGCGACGTTGAACAGCACGGGGAGGTACCGGTACTTCTTGGCCTCCTCGGGCGTCATTTTGATATGGCAGAGTGTCCAGGCGGTGGGACGGAGTTGTTTCTTAAAGTCCAGGAGACGGTCACTGCCAGCCCCTGCGGAGAGGATGGTGTGATCTGCGCGGTGGACGGCGCCGTCGGCTGTTCTGGCCCCGACCACGTCCCCGTTCTCGTAAACTAGAGACACGACGTCTCCTTCTGGGGAACCGGTGATGAACGTGACCCCTAGACGCTTCGCTTCGGTGTATGCGGAGAACATGGCCTTCTTGGCGTGGATCCATCCGGCGCCGGTCTTGTTCAGCCAGCCCTTCCAGCCGGGGAAGTTGCCGGTGAGGATGCCCGGCGGCATGGTCTTGCGGAAGTCCTCTGCGGTGTCCAGTTTGACGAACTCTGCGTCTGACGAGTCGATCTCATGCTCTTGTATATGTTTAATCAGAGCTGGAGTGTGGCCGGAGACAATTGCCCCCGTTTCATGAAAGTATGGCCGGAACACGGGATCGGTCTTCCAGCCTTTCAGAGCAGCTCTTGTGCATGTTGAGAATGCGATACCCCAGGGATCAGTTTCCGATGCTATTAGGTTTCTCGTTGGGTGAGCGAACAGTCGGTTTGATCTGGGTCATGAATTATACGTACCTTTGACCTCTCTGTGCTCCATGATTTTGTTAATGTCATTGCCGGCTGCAATTGGGGAAGGGACGGGGTGTGGATCTAGGACCGTGACATTCTTGTAGCCTCGACGGGCAAGATGTAAAGCAGTAGAGCATCCCCAGGTCCCTGCACCGACGATTAAGATAGATGATGTGGGAGTCAAGTTAGAGGGTGTCATTGTTGTATTATTGGTGTCGTTAAGTGTAGGGTATGACCAGGAGGACAATTGCTAGGAAAGCTGTATACAGAACCGCAGTAGAACTCCCTCCGAGAATTTATACAGGTAAGTCATGCCATCAACAAGTAGAAGCCAGCTGGCTCTCCCAAAGCTGCAACAGGCTAGCCTGGGCCACGTACTGGAGCAAAAACCGGAAAGGCGGCCTTATCAACCCCGACATGGGATATATTGAAGGGACTTGAAAACAAGTAGCATGATGCATGGATGAGTGAAGTGGTTATGGCAACGCATCATCTGATTGGACCGGCCATCACCTGATTAGGGTTAGGTTGAGAGGATCCGCTTGGACCTTCCTCCCTTTAAGCTATCGTATCTTCTCCGCATTTTCTATCAACCTTATACATCTGCCAGATCCATCCTCACGATGGAGCAGAGATAACTCTTGCTCAACCGGGTCAATACCCGCATGACTGTCCCCGCGTTTTATCGTTCGTGGCAACTGTAGATATTATTCCATCCAATTGTGGACCGCAGGGCTCTCTCCGCACCAGGTCCCTTCCAGTATCAAATTCCCGTTGCATCATGGCCAGTCGTTTGGAGCTTCCTTCATGTCGATCCCCCCTCCTGTTGGGTGGGTCGCATGCTTATCGCTCTATATTATGTCCATGTATTTGTCTGTATGTGGAATCGTAGACCTCGGAACATCTCGCATGGAGAGGAACATGGCGTATATCGAGCCGGATAATCTGTTACATCCCCCAGGCCTATCGTAAGTAGCCGGTAAAGCTTCATTAGATAGCTCGGCAAGCTCGTCCAATGGTGAGAGCTCTGGGATACGGTGAACGGGATGATACTTGTTCTTCCCCTCAGAGGAGGTCTGCGACTTCGCCGCCGGCATTGTATTTAAGAAGCCATGCGTCTCCAGGATGGACGTCTGTCCGTAGCTATTAAACGAACTGTAAACTCAATATGGCCCCTACTGACGACATCCTGACTGATGTCCCAGGTACCGTTTACTTGGTTGACAGTACGTGTACATCTACTTCGAATGGTTCTAGATAGATTGGCATTAACCCTTCATGTAGCATCCGGGAACCTGGCCGATGCTGCTCACGCGAATGATATTCTCCTGCTCCCCCAGCCAACATGTTCCGCAGCTGATCCTCTAGTAAGCATGTGTGCCCTTTATCTAGTCCACTCGTCACTAACATATGGCACAGAACTGGCCGAAGTACAAAAAGTACTGGACCCTGTGTCTCATCTCAGCCTATGCATGCGTGAACTCCTTTGGCGAGAACAACTGGGGTGCATCATGGACCACTATCTCCGATGAGACCGGCGTCAGCCTCGAGAACATGAACGGCGGCTCCGCCCTCAACTACCTCATGCTTGGCTTCTTCAATATCATCTGGATTCCGACGGCGATGAAATTCGGGCGAAAGATCGTCTACATCTTGAGTTTGATATTTGTCGGCGCGAGTGGTATCTGGGGTGCGTTTTACGTTGGGACGGGTCAATATTATGTTATGACGACGATTAGTGGAATGGGCACTGCTGCGTACCAAGCCCTGATTCAGCTTACGGTGAGCCTCACTACTCGATCTATATTCGGTGCGCTGCTAAGTGATGGAAGATCTTCGATACGTTCTTTGCCCACGAACGAGGCCGAATGATCGCGATTTACATCTTCTTCCAGCAGCTGGGGTCCATCCTCGGACTTATCTTGGGCGGATACATATCCGATGGTATCGGATGGAGATGGAGTATGCCCATTGTTGCAATTGCCTGTGTGAGTACGCACCTCACCTTGTCACTAGATTAATCACTCATAGTGTCTAGGGAGTCCTAATCTTGTTGTTCATATTTACCTTCGACGACACCATGTTCCCGCGGTACCGCTTCTCAGAAAGAACACCATCGGAAACCCTGAAAGGCGAACAGAGCTATGAAGCTCCACCTGAAATACAATCTGAGAAGCCTCAGAAAGAGGAGCCCCATATGTCAGTGACCCCAAGCAATGGCGCGGGCGAGGTAGACATGCCGCCACGGACATATTTCCAGAAAATCGCCCTGGTGCACTACTTCAAGGACGACCAGACGACATGGTTCCAGTATTTCCGACGACCGTTCTATCTCTTCGCGTTTCCCAATATCGTCCTAGCTGGTATTCAATTCGCGTTCGGATGCACCGCGGGAATCGTCTCCTTCAACACCATCTCAGAGATCATGACAGAAGCTCCGTACAACTGGAGCAACGGTTCAACCGGCCTATTGTTCCTCTCCGCTCTGATCGGCAGTTTCTTCGGGTGAGTCATAAACACCTGGTCTTCTTCTCTTTGTGCCTGTCTTGTTGTAGACAAAGCTTATATGAATCAGGATGGGCGTCGGATCCCTATCAGATTGGCTCGTCCTCGTCCTAGCCCGTCGCAACAAGGGCTACAAAGAGCCCGAAATGCGACTCTGGGCATACGTATTTCCGCTAGTATTCGCCGCCCTTGGGTACTTCATCTACGGCTGGGGTGCCACGGCAGGAGCGCATTGGATGACCATCGCCGTTGGTTTGTGTTGCATGATCGCTCAACAAGTCTCGGCAACTAGTATCGCGACAGCTTACGCCATGGAATGTTTTGACAAGGTATGGCTTACCGAATCTCTTTGCAGAGTCCTTCCGGCCTTCATCAACTAATCATGCGCCTAGATCTCCGGTGAACTGGTGATCGTACTCGCCATATGCTCTTCTGTCATCAATTTCGCCATCTCGTTCACCGTGCAGCATTTCATTAACGCCACCAACTATGGCTGGGCTTTCACCTTTTATGGTATATGTGTGGTCCTTTCTATGGCGATGGGTGTACCGATGCTTATCTGGGGCAAAAGCTGGCGCCGACGGGGCAAGGGGCGTTATGAGAAGTTTCTGGCAGAGACGGGTCGTCAATCTTGATAACTAACGTGCCAGAGTACATGAGTTGTTTCGTATCATGCTGCTTCTCGTTTGGTTTGATTTATTGAAGTTTTTTAAGGGTATGTGAAGGCTATTGCACATCCACCAGTGCCTGGAAGATACCAGATAATCGTACTTTCCATTGATCATTATTTTATTGCTCCGTTGCTAGATTTCAAGAGTTTCCTAGTTTATGTTAAGTCTTGGATATGACCCACTAAGTGAACGACATCCGCAGATCAAAACGTAGGAAATAGCCAGTCAATGCGCCGATTTCACCATGCTACCGAATGTCAAAGACATGGTCTTTAGAAACGAGGCTACGAAAGCCGGAAAGATTTGCAAATGACGATAGAAGGGGAAACGAATACAGGAGCGGTGCGGCTGTCTAGAGACGCAATTGAGACGTCGCTTTTATGCAGAAGGAAAATAGGGTGGTTTGTAGTAGAAACATTCATGAATCATCCATGGCATTATCGCGCTTATGAGAAGAACCTCTGCGCAGTGGCGCGTTCCTTCGCCTGGCGGTCCTTGATGGCTTTCTTGACCTTGGCAAGTTCGTTGGCGATGCCGGCGTCACCGGGAGCCAGCTTCTCGGCTTCCTGGAGGTCCTTCAGGGCCTCGTCCTCCTCCTTCAGGCCGCCATGGGCCACGGCACGGCGGTAGTAGGCCTTGGCCTTGTCGGCATCCTTCGCATTAGCCGCATTAGCGGTCTCCAAGGCGTAGGTAGCCCAGGTCCGAGCGTTTCCGTACTGTGCCAGCTTGTTGGCGAGAAGGGAAGAGTTGGAGTGCAGGGCAAACCGGAGAGTCTTGATCTGGCCATCAAGCTCCTTAGGGTCGTTCTCAGCAGGCTCAGAGAACTCTTGCAGATAGCGCAGACCTTTCTGGTACTTCTCCAGACCAAGAGCAATGTTACCGCTCTTGAACGCGGCATTTCCGTAGTTCTTCAATTCCGACGCAATCTTGAAGCAAACAGGGGCACTCAGCTCCTCACCCTGGTGGTCATCGGGGAAATCCTCGTAGGGGTCGCCGGTAGCATCAGGAGTTTGCTTGTCAGCATTATCGTAATCCTGGCCCGTGAGTTCACCACACTCAACAATGGTGACGTCCTTGACGGGCTTGTCTGCCTGGGTGTTCATGTTCTCGACTTTGCGGACGATACTCTTTCCGTTGATCACTTCACCGAAAACAACATGCTTGCCATCCAGATGAGGGGTGGGGACCGTAGTGATGAAGAACTGGCTGCCGTTGGTGCCGGGGCCGGAGTTGGCCATGGAGAGGAGGAACGGCCTGTCATGCTTGAGCTCAAAGTTCTCGTCGGGGAATTTCTCGCCATAGATCGATTCGCCGCCGGTACCGTTGAATGCAGTGAAGTCACCACCCTGGATCATGAATTGCTTGATGACGCGGTGGAAAATCGAACCTATGCGGTGGAGGTTAGGACGTATGCGCCGTGGGATCCAGAAGCGGGGTTACACGCCGTACCCTTAAAATGCAATGGCTTGCCCTGCTTCCCCATGCCCTTCTCTCCGGTACAGAGAGCACGGAAGTTCTCTGCCGTCTTGGGAACGACTGTACAGGTTCAGTATTTGTGTAGCAAGGAAAATCTCCGTTGGCAATGGGACTGACCATCGTTGAACTGTGAAAGGCGGGGTAGTTAGCAAAGGCTGCTGTACAACCATGAGCGACCGGGGATGGTATTTATAATTAACGTACCAATTCCAGGGCAACACGACCAGCCTTTTCGTTACCAATCTGGATGTCAAAGAAGACACGGGGACGACCTGTATCTCGAATGCGATCAGTATTGGTTTGCGATGTGAGGGCGGAACCCCACAGCGGAGAAAAAGAGCAAAAACGCACGCTGAGAGTCAGCCATGGTTGAGTAGTATAGAGATCGGACGGAGCAGAGAATTAGGTTAGAAAGTGGATCAGTAAATAGATTGAGATGGTTCAAGTCGAGAGTCAGTAAAAGAAGAGGGAAGGGGAGAGGTAGAGAAGTGGACTGGAGCTGAAGGCAGTAAGAATGGGAACGAGTGATGCTTCAGGAAGCTTCCATTGATCACGGGTCTCCGCACCATGCAATTCTTAGCACAATAACACCTACTTGCCTAGTTCTTCCATTCATACAGTCTAGACTAGTCCGACAAATCATTCAACTGAGGCCAGTCGATCATTGGCGGTTTCTTTTGCAAGGATCTTAGAATCACTAATGACATTCATTCATTAATCTCCCCAAAAAGTCTAACAATCTATTTACCAACCCAGGGTATAAAAAATAGAAAGATAGAAAAAAGAAAAAAAATCTAGCAAAATAAAGAACAAGAATGGTATCATATATAATACGGGAATATAACCACCATTATTCCAACAACTCAGGAGGCAATTTAATTTCAATATTTCTCTGAACCGGTTGCGACGGCTCTTCCTTCTCCGATTTCTCCTTCTTCGGCAACTGTGTGTTGATCTCGATCGTAACCTATTGATTTCCATACCCGTCAGTAACCCATTCATAGAAATGTCAAGGGGCAGCATAAGAACGAGCAATGGCTATACCGCTGCATCTTCACTGCGGTAATCTACACCCACCGGCCCGTCGTTCTTCAATTCGACCTCCATCATCGCCTGGAAGATACCGTTCTTTACCCGTTCGGGCTTGTAGGCTTCCCCCAGTCGTCGGAAGAAGTAGTCGTACAGTTTACGGGCAGTCTCTGCGTCAGCGGCGTCGTGGAAGTCGGGTTGCTTGCCCTTTTTCAATTGGCCATAGAGTGTAAATTGCGATACTGCGACGGTCAGCAAGCACAATCTGGATGCAGTTGAAGCATAATCACATACCGCAAAGAACCTCTCCTTCAATATCCGAGACATTTCGCTTCCACTTCACGCCGAGTGATATCCGTCAGAACCAATCCATCTTGTTGCCGGCAATCCTATCAACTAGTGGCATACCTGCTTATCTTCCTCGCTTGGGAACAGCTTGGCTTTCAGTATCCGTTGTATTAACGTATCTGCATCCTTCTCTGTGTCTTCCTTGCCAACACCTGCCAGTACGAGCAGACCTCTACCAATCTTAGAGACTAGCTGGCCATCGACCGTAACCGACGCTGATTTGACTCGCTGTATAACCGCTGGCGTTCGTTTAGTGGAGGTGCTTTTGAAGGAGATGAGTTGGTGACACACCTTTCATAGTGAGATTGTCTGACCAATAGGCGTATATATTTGTGGCAAGTGGGGTAAAGAGGTTTATAAGAAACGCGAACAGTCTGTATTCACGGGGATAATTAGCTAGAGAACACAGCACTCGAGGAAACTATTATTCACGGCCTTTATAGATCTGTAGCCGCTTGCTGTAAACGGAGCTTTCACTTACCGTGTAGATTCACAACACAAGCGGGTTCAAGGTTGGCGAGTAAAAGACCGTTAAGTCGCATATGCGAGGTGAAGCAAAGAAGCTGGGGATTCTTATAGAAACTCGAGGCAGAACTATCGGCCAAGAAAGAGGAGTAACGAACGACAGATGATCGGAGGAAAGTTAAGTGGTTTCCGCACCGCACTGAATAACCTAAGGCACACACTTAAGGTATCTACAAACCGATTTCAATACTGAATTACGCCGCCCGTCAAGTCTTGGCGCCAACTGAGCTCTTCGACAGGCGCTTGATCCATACCACATATCAGGAGATTGTCTATTCTCCACCCCCAGGACTTCTCTTGACAATCAATTAACTCACTCATCCACCGCGCACACGTCCTTCAATTTAGGACAGAGTTGCCTGGCAACCTTGATCCTTATTTACACCCACGGAATTCCCAGACGTCGACTTCATCCGAATCCCCCCATCCGCCCTACCTTTCTCCGCTTCCCACCCACCCTGAACCCACACCTCGAGTACAATTTTCAGCCTCCTTCCGTGGCCATCTGTTCATGTGAACAGCAGCCATGACATCGCGAAAGACGCAACAAGAGATCGACAAGACCTTCAAGAAGGTCGCCGAAGGTATTCAGTCGTTCGAGGGCATCTACGAGAAGATCCGCTCCACGTCAAATCCGACCCAAAGGGATAAGCTCGAGGAGAACTTGAAACGGGAGATCAAGAAGCTCCAACGGTATCGCGACCAGATCAAATCATGGGCGTCAGGCAATGAGGTCAAAGACAAGGGACCGCTGCTGGAGCAGCGCCGAGCCATCGAAACTGTGGGCTAACGATTCCCCGACAAATCCTGCCCTCCAACGGCGTATCGAACTTGCGAGTAGCTAACACAGGTGCAGTGTATGGAGCAGTTCAAAGCTGTAGAAAAGGAAATGAAGACAAAAGCATACTCGAAAGAGGGCCTTTCGGCCGCATCCAGACTCGATCCGAGAGAAAAGGAAAAGGTGGAGACAAGTGACTTCTTATCGAGTATGGTCGACGAGTTACAACAAAAGATCGAGGCCATGGAGGCCGAGGAAGAGACACTGCATATGCAGATGAAGAAGGGTAGGAAGGATGTCGCCAGGGCCAACCGATTAGCGGATCTTACGCGGATAACGGAACGACATAAGTGGCATGTCAATAAGCTGGAACTCTTGCTACGATCGCTGCAGAACGGGAATGTGGAGGTAAACCAAGTGTTGGACTTGAAAGAAAGCATAAAGTACTATGTAGAGGACGGGCATAATGTGGACTACTCTGGCGAGGATGAGACCCTTTATGATGACCTGAATCTAGATGGTGAGACTGAGGCACAGTTCGGCATGACGGGTGACAACGACCGGGTATCATCGCAAGATGCACAATCTGTCCAGGATGAAGAGCTGGACTTGAAGCCGAAACCCGTCAAGAGTGAACCCATAGCGCCTCGAAGACCCTCAGCGCAGATGAAATCGCCGCTCCCAGTGCTTGCGACGCTACATCCGTCGACGTCTACCAGTGCTACATCTGGGATGAAGCCCGCACCACCGCCCACCCGTCTACCTGGGGAGACCCTCAAATATGCCTCCGCGGCGGCGCGGCGGCAGCCAGCGATAAGAACGGGGTTGGCATTGCTCCCCTCCCTCCACCGCCGGGCGCCAGTCCTGCTTTCCCCGCCGCCAGTTTGGCCTCAAGACCGTCGTCGACTGCTTCCCCTAGCATTGCTCGGTACAACCTGTATCTAGGCCGGCCGCGACGGCCAGTATCACTTCGGAGGAGCGGTCCAAGACGCCCGCGCACAGCCCCAATGTCACCGCTGCGAGTGCGTCGAACACGGTGCAGTCGACGCCTGCGACCAAGAAGGCGGAGACGTCAGCCACCAAGGAACCACAGCCAACGGTGAACGGTGAGGCGAGCAAGGAAGAGTCGCGCGAGGAGGAATCGATATACCACCTGCCTCCGGGACTGCAAGATCTGATCCATTCCTTCGAGGTGACCAAGAGCCGAGCGGCCGCACAAAGTTCCACAAACCCCCCTCCTTCAGTGCAACGGCTCCTTACGGCATCACTCAATACCTGTCCCGAGCCGGCGGATGCTGAAAAGCCACGTCACTATAAACCTCAGAACCCGTACAATACCCCTCTTTATTACCCTCAAGAGCCGCTTGCCATCTTCGACGACCCCCGGTTATACGACACGGGACGGATCGATACGGATACACTGTTCTACCTGTTTTATTACCGACAAGGCACATATCAACAATTCTTGGCGGCCAAAGCGCTCAAGAACCAAAGTTGGCGATTCCACAAGCAGTACCAAACCTGGTTCCAACGGCACGAGGAGCCCAAGACCATCACAGAGGAATTCGAACAAGGGACGTATCGGTTCTTTGATTACGAGAGTACATGGTGAGCTGAGTCTTCTCTTTCACTTCTCGTTTTCCTTTTTTTTCACCTTTCTTTCTCCCATTGAAGTTGTTTTACATGTCGGGGTCCAATCTCCGAGATGTCTCGGACAAACCGCTAACGCAGCACACAGGATGAACCGTCGTAAGGCCGATTTCAAGTTTGTCTACAAGTACCTGGAAGACGAACTATAATGCGGCTTTAGTCTCCTTGTTTCTTTGAGTTCGTGTATGTATGGTAGGCATTAGGTCCAATGATTTGCGGTGTGGTTATGGGTCATCTACACTGGAGACGGGCATTGAGTTTCAGATCCTTCGGGTTGCCGACGGATGGGAGTCTGTCATTTCGTTTGACTTTTTTTTCTTCTCCCTTTTTTTCACTTCTTTGTGTTTGCGAGATTTCTTCAGGAACGAGTAAACGACTGGGACTGCGGGACAGGGGGAGTTCTGCGCTGATCTTGCGTGGCGGCTGATGGGATATACAGCCATGTCTTATGCACACACTGTTGGGTTGGCCCCTTGAGGAATGCAACCATCGTCCAAAGATCTTTGACCGGTGATGATTATTACTGCATCCGTTCCGTGTTCAGACTCGTCTGGACCGAGTCTGGCGTTCTGGCATCCGTAGCGATTAGGAGAAGCGTAGCCCGAAGCAGCAATCCGAGCCGGCGTGTGGCTCGCGATCACCCAAGGTTGGACAGATGAAGCCGAGTCTGCATCCACCTTAGGGAGTGTTCACCATTGGGATGGTTGATCGCTGTCGGACAAAGAAGCAGCAAAGATGAAACAGTAGTAGAGAAGTAAATGTTCGGCTAGGGAACGGTTGCTGCTATAATTATTGTTCGTATTATTGGACGAGCGGAATGAACCTACGGTCAGCTATCACGAGTAGGAGTAGTAGGAATCGAGAAGGGAAGACTGAGAGGTTCCAAAGCTATGACTAAGGTTAGGGCGATCACCGGACTTGGACCTTTACGCTTTCTGTGCCCGACACACAGACAACAAGAGAACAAAGGGCAACAATTGATTTCTCCGTCTCTCTCTCTGTGTGTGTGCGTGTGCGTGTGTGTCTGTCTTTCTGGGTGTTTCTCGCCCGTCCGCCTCACTCACCGTCGAGTCATTTGTTAAACGCAAATTAAAAGCCTCAAAAATAATTAAATGACGGTCAGACTAAAAAGTACCTCGCATCTTCAAAAATCCCTCACGGAACGGTTCAAAGTTCCCCCTGCGTGGACTAGTTGAATTACTTCTTACGGAGTGGCTGGTGGAAGGAATAGAATCATCGTTCATCAATCAGTCGACGGTGAGTGGTAGTACCAAAGACATCAGCATCAGCATCATCATCAAGGGCGGTAGCAGTGTACGTTGGTGCAAGTGGGCTGTGTGCGGCTATCTTCTCCGTCACCCGGTAGTAGGCACTAGTAGTTTACCAGTGTACCAGTTGGACCATGACAATCTCGTCCATCCATGGTTTCAATCCGTAAATCCATGTTCCTCATTGAATTAAATTTTTTCTTTCTGAATGGAAACGGATCCATTTATTATGTGGTTCTTTTATTAGGAGAAAAGTAAACCTTGAATGCGAGGAATTCGTCTCCCCAGACTTGGTGTTCACCGAATCAACCTGGGACTTGGCGCCAAGGCCGGCGTCTCCACTGCCACAAGGCTGTCGAATCGCTGATTTTCGTCCCGAGCATCAAAGAAAATGTGTCGGAAAACGTGCCGACCTGGAAAATCAGGTTGGGTGTTCATGCCTTATCCCCATGTTCATGTACAGGTCCGGTCGGTATCAGGAACAATCATAGTACCCTTCATTATCCTAGTACTAATTATAATCTTCATGATCTTAAACTTCACTCGGTGATAATAATAATAATAATACTACTACTACTACTATAAAATATTATATCTATCAAAAAACAAAAAAAATAAAAAATAAAAATACAACAGCATAAAGAAGAAAATCCAATAAATAAAATAAATCATAAAAATAATCCAGTCAAACATAAAGTCAGAAACCGAATCGGGTAAAGTCTGGCAGATGACTGTCCAAAGCCAACGTTGCCATCAGTGCCATCATCTCCACCCGCATCGCTTGCCTGTGACGGAGATAATCACAACAATCTCCTCGGAGCACAATCCCCCTCCGTCAACGGTGGATACAACGACAAACGACAACAGCAACAATCGCTCGTCAGGGGATTCATCAGTGCGTTCCGATCAGTGAGGGAAAATCAAAACCCACGGTCCAAGCCGTTCCTGACGAATGAGACCTGGTCAAAACAGGCGGAGAGAGACACTAAGATGTCCGTTTACGGCAAGACTCAAGTCGGGTGCCATGTCTGCCTTATTGGCTTCGAAGGGTCCACCGATACTTGGACCTTGTGGGGTTGGATTTAGTGCGCCTGGACGATGATGTAAAGTTCAAGCAGGAAGCATCATCATCTGTGGTGTTACCTGTTGTCAGTTATTCCTTATCGGCCCGTGTTTGCTGTGCCCCTGGGGCTGGATCTACCAATCATCCCCTGCCAGGACATCACCGGTCAATTCCACTCTTCCCCTAGAAGCCTGGCAGAACCTTCGATCCTTTCTAGCGGCGTTCTTAGCGTCAGCAACGCAAGGACGCTTCACTTCCGCTGCGCCAATGAGACCCATCCGCGGTTCGTGGCAGTGCGTCGCAGTCGTTCCCGACTGCATGCCCCCCGGCCAATATTCATGTCGATTTCCTGCATGGGTCCCCCCAGCTAGCATTCTTAGTCGTTGATCGTGGAGCTGTTGCTCACCTGATGATGTCGCCATGGATCTCCTTCGTGTTATTAACACGCCAGATGGGTCCCCTAGTCAGACATCGTTGTGGAGAAAGCGCGGTTTGCTTTGCTCTACTCCATGTGCGACGTACAAACCTCGAGATACTCGCGTTATATAAAGGCTCGACTTCCCCCCAAACCTGGGGATGCTTACCCACTGACCTTCAATAAGTTTGGAACTCAACTGCGATTGACTTGACCAACCTACTGGATTCCTTCCTTTCTTTTTCCCAGTATACATAATGTTGCGTTACTCTTCTCCAATGGTATGCCAATGATACGCTGTTGATCTCCTGCGTTTCTATTTCTTTTCTTTTTTCATATTTTTCTTTTTGTGTGGTTTTCTGCTGGCCTGTCTGGTAATCAATGTGACAATATATTTCTGGCTACCTTGCGTACTTGCACAGTACACATCAAGCGCATCAGTAAACTCAACTAACCGTCGCATTTCAGAACCCTCATGCTGCGGCATGCCCTCCCATGGAGCACTCCTACTCGACCAGCAGTGAGGAGTCCATGCAGTCTCCGATGGGATACTATGAGGTGTACGCCATGGCGAGCAATGATATTGAGCTCTACCACGCTCAGTCCAACGCATCCTCGTATTCTTCCTCCTATCCATCTTCCAACTATTCCTACTCCTCCTCATTCGGCTCGTCCTACGACTCGGGCTCTTTTGAGGCGTCTTCCTACGACTCGGCCTCCTATGACTTTACCACCCCTCCACCCGTCTACTGCCCACCGGATCTCAATCCACAGTTCGCCCCACAGTACTTTCCGTCCCCCGTCAGCACATGGCCCACCCCCCCTGCGCAGGTCACGCCGGTGGAGGATTTCCCCTACCCTCCACTAGAGACCCACTTCACTCCGTGCGAGACAGCCAAGTAAGTCTCGAGCCATGGAATAGGTTCAGCCATCTCATTTCGCAAGGAATGCTAATTGTCTGTCTAGACCGGCGAAGCCTACGTCTGCGAGTGCGGCCGGGCGTTCACTCGGCCAGCGGACCTGAAGCGGCACGAGTCCAGCGTCCACAACCCTGTCTTCCAGGACTGCCCGGTGCAGGGATGCATCCGCAAGGACAGCAATGGTTTCCCGCGTCGCGACCACTTGATTGAGCATCTGCGGTCGTACCACCATCTCGATGTGCCGAAGCGCCGTGCGGCTACTAAGCGGGTGGCAAAGGCGGCCTAAGATGCGACACGATGATGTCTTGGCTGCCCTCTCCTGTATGGGCTTGGGCCCTTCTGCCATGGCTTCAGGGCAGTGATCTGCCGTATGTGACTGCGTGACATGCTTGGCACCTCATCCTCCCCTGGAGTGATTTCTTTGTCTACATCTTCTCCCCTGGTTCATACTCTGCATGTCTATGCTTGTGTCCACTATCTTTCCTTCGTCTGCATCGTCCACTCGGACGACCCGCATCCTCTTTTACTGTGTTTTTTGCTTCAGGTTCATGTATTGATGACGACTCATGTACGGATACCAGACCGGCGTTACGCGATAGACGGTGCATTGTATCGTCTGGGATTTTGCTCTTCTTTTCACTTCTTCGCGCATGACATGGCCGTCTCTGAGGGACTCAGGACCGCAGACCACATGTCCATTAATTTTTTTTCTCTTCCCTTCACAGTCCCCCCTTTAATTCTCATTCCCCCTTTTTCTTCTTTTTTGCCTTTCATATTTACCTTTCCATCAAGCTCAAGCTTCAGGATACACAAGACCAACGGCGTCCGGGAGTTAATGCATTACATTAATCCAATAAACCCAGTTATGTAATGCACTTGTGCTACAGTATCCAAAGCGCACTAGCCCTAGAAGAAACTCGTAGTCCAGCGCCGTACCTAACGTACTGCAGCCTTAGCCACCGGACTAAGCCCGACATTAAAGCAAGCAAGGCCAGCAAGCGAGACAGAAAGCCAGAGACAGTGAGGGAGAGAGAGAGAGAGAGAGAGAGAAAACAGATCTCTTTGTTCCCTCCCCTCGGGCCCCCAACTACCTCAATGAATCAGGGCCAGAAAGCCTCCCAAATAAGATTTTCTTTATATCCCCCTCCCCCCACACATAACCACCACATCAACAACAACTGTAACCCGCCACCGCAATATCAACAACCAAGGAACCGGCTACCTCCGGCAAAAGAAAAAGAAAAAAAAGAAGAAAAGCAAAACTCGGTGCTACAAAAATAGTTACACCGTCAGCTCTGGGACGATCTCCAACCTTATTTCTGACTGCTTTTAGCCAGGTACAGGACTGCTTCCACTGGGTGGATCCGAGAATACGGTTGACACACTTCGGCGAACAAAGAAACCTGGGTAAAAGGTAACTGGATCTGCGTTTTTGGCTGGGCAGGAAGTCGTAAATAGCTGGGAGAAAGTTTATACTGGGTTTGGGGGTGGTGTTTCATGTTGCCCTCAGGTACTGGGATCATTAAGGATGGGGCTTTTGTTTGATTCTACTCTTCTTAGTCTTGGTCCTGGTCTTTCTCTGAGACAGTAGGTACTTGACAGGGACAAGACCGGCATTTGCATTGCATTGCATTGCATGAAAGAGAACAGGAATAGAATACTAGAATTCTGACTTACATATGGGATAAAAAAAAGTAACAACCAGATTTCTCTTGATACATTCTCAGACGGTCAGACTAAGTACACTTGGATAGACTAGATTGTGGTGGTGGCCCACCACCCCCGGTGAGAGAGAAAGAAAGAAAGAAGCCCAGAATCAAGAGGAAGGAAAATTCACAAAACACTCCCCCTTCGCTCTCCACCGTCCGTCCCCACCCTTCGTTCGAGCTTTCGACGAGCCAGCAGCAACCCACTCAAACCCCACCCCCTCCTCTTCGAGCATCGCACGCTTCCTCTCCAGATTCGCATGTCCGCTTGCCGGTCCTGCGCCCATGTACCCGCCGAGCCCGCCGTCGGCGCTGAGCACCCGGTGGCAGGGCACGTCCGGCGCGAACGGGTTCGTCCGCATGGCGGTGCCGATGGCGCGCGCGCTGGAGTGCAGATGCGTGGCCAGCGCGGAGTAGGTCGTCCAGCGGCCGGCGGGGATGGAGAGGAGGGCGAGGTAGACGCGCCGGCGGTGGGGGGTTAGGGTTGGGTGGGATTTGATGCGGTGGATTTGTTTGAGCATGGTTGGATTTGGGGTTTGTGTTGGGTACTGGGTTGAGGATGGTGGTGGAGATGGTGATGTATTTGTGGTTTTAGTTAGGGTGAGTGTGTTTGGGGGTGGTGCTGGTTTGGTGGTGGCCATTATTGTTCTTGGGGTTGATTGTTGTTGTTCTTTGTGTTGTTTTATGGTATTGTTTTGTGGTTGAAAGGTTGGAAGGCTGGGTTGGTTAGGTGGTGTTGTGTGAAGCTGTTACTGGAGTCACGCACCTAGGTGGCGATATTGGTTTTTATTTATATAAATCAGAGGTGAGGTGGTGGGGAGGAGGTTGGGTGGCTTTATATGCTTCTGCTCATGGATGTCCGTGGATGATGTTGATGTTGATGTGGAACTGGCCAATCAGGTGTTGCGCTGCGGTCGACGTCTGGCACCTCACTGGATATAGTACGGTCTATCACTCCGACAAGAAGGTAGTCTAGATTAACCCTATTAAAGATACGATTACAGCCTGCCTTGCTAGAGAAGAGAAGAGAGTGTCATTGACGGCCAGTCTTTACAATATGGCGTCGGGTATATCGCAGAAGTGGGTATCCCTGATCTACATGTATATTATGGCGTTATCGACCGCCCACCCGTTGAGTCGTTCCTCATCCATCCATAGACAAACCCACCACTACGCACTCGAAACATTCTCCTCCTGCGCATCCGTCGGCTTACCCATCTCCGGATCCACTGCGCTGTTCTTGCGGTTGGCCGTTTCAATATACCCCGGGTTTTCCGCCTTAAGACGGGCGAACGTCCGCTCGGCATCCCACACCCACGGCGTGTCGGCAGCAAATAGCAAGTCCATGTCCTCCAACGTCCGCTGGTTACTCTCTGGATAAAGAGCCCATACCATTGGGATGGTGATGACGTTGCTGGCTGCGAATACATACAGCGTCTTTTCGCCGATGGCCTCGAACATCACCGGACACAATAGAGTCTAGCCGATCAGTCAGGGAACTTCTCAGGCAGCCTGCAGGGCACTTACCAGCCAACCGTTTCCAATACTCCATCCCACAACACCCCAGGCGTTTCCTTTTGCGCGGACCGCCAATGGATAGATCTCAGCAGGATAAATCCATGGTACTAGTCCAGTTAGCAGAGCCAGCAGAAGCAGTGGAAGCATTCGACGTACCCGTCAACCACGTAGCTCCGAAGACAGAAGTGAAAATGAAGACCATCGACGCAGCGGCAGCGCCAAACGAGTTAGCCCGAGAGAGATTGCCATCGGCCCGCGCATCAATGGCAAGCCGGGAGAAGCCTCCGGCTAGGAACATAGCGATACCCTGCGCGGTGGATCCCCAATACAATGTCCACCTACGACCAATCCGATCGAGTGTGAATACACAGATAAGGGTCGCGAACTAGTCCTGTCAGCCATGTCATTGCAGCGATGTTCTGGCCATCCTACCATATAGAAGACATTATTCAAACCGCTGATCCACTGGCTCTTCATCGAGTCGAATCCAGCAATGCTAAAGATAGTTGGCGCGTCTACACTCGTCAGTGATGCGCTTGTGGGTGGGGACTGGGGTTCAAGTAGACATACAAACGGTGACACCAGCAATGCCGACCCATTCCTGCATGATCTGCAGCCAGACCACCAGTTGCACACGTCGACCGAGATGCAGCTTGCCGGTTTTATAGCCGAAGAGCATCGCCAAGTAAGAGGTGCTATGGTTCATGCTCTTTTCCATCTCTGCGACGTTTTGGATGTCGAGGAACTCGGCCTCGGCGCGAACGGCGTCTTCATCACTGCTTCCACGGAGCCGACCAAGAATGTAGCGCGCTTCTTGCTCGCGACCGACCTTGACTAACCACCGTGGGGACTCTGGGAAAAACCAAACAACGACAAACAGTAAGAGTAAAAAGATAATCTGGAACGCGATCGGGAATCGCCAGCGGAACGGAGACCTTCCACCATCGATGAAAGACAGTCCACTAGAACCGATTAGACCAATCTAGATGCTTGGAAGGTTAAGACCTACAATTCCAGCCAATAAGCTAGGACGACACCGAAGATATTCAGAGTAAACTCGATTGCAATGAATTGTCCTCGGGATGTATGCTCGGCAGTCTCCGTCGCCCAGACCGGGACAATTGCGTTCAGAATACCAGTGCCAATGCCATTGATGAAGCGCGCTGAGTAGTTGTGAGTCTATGAGGTCTGACGGAGATCCATTTGGAGTTGACTCACAGCAAATCATCCAATTATGGTTTTGTGCGGAACACTGCAACGCAGCACCAAGAATAGCCCAGAGAGCGCCTGCCGCAATCGTCTTGATCCGGCCAATACGATCTCCTGTCCAGCCACCAAGGAGTGCGCCGAACAATGTCCCCAGATAATAGACCGACACGATTCCGCCTTGCAGCAGACTGTCCGTGACAACTGGGGTGAGGTAGCCGTCCTTCATCTCGGTGTAACCGAATCCCATGAGGTCGATGTAGTCTTTCGAATTGTTGACTCCTGCCATCATGCCCTGGTCATATCCGAAGAAAAGAATCGACAGCGCCGCAACACTGTTGATGCCAATGAGAAGCTTGCGCTTCTCCAATTTGTGGACAACATTCCACTTGTGTATCTGGTCGCACATGGCAAGGACTCAATGTTTCGAAAATTGACTGCGAATGATGAATCAATGCCCCAACAAAGGGTGTACTTCGGGATCCTCCGCTTCTCGCCCAAATAGCTTGACAAGAAGATTAAGGGACAAATAGTGCCGCCAGAGACCTTCCATATACACACACCTGTGGGGTGACACAAGGTCTATATATGCTTTGCCGAAAAACAGCAATCGGCCGATGGCCGACAGTGATTTTGTCCTGCATAGTGATCGACCAGCCCATGGGATGATGATCAAGGCCATCCTGAATCGAATTGGGTTACATTCCGTGTGGGAGAAACCTAGAAGACTGGATTGGAGACATAGCACATGCAAGGTCGTTGATTTTCTCCACCGAGATACACGATGTTACTCGCTAAACGGCCCCGCAAGAAAAAAAAATCTGGAGATAGCGAAGCCGGATTTGGCTCCAGACCGGCACAATACGAATCAAAATCGGTAATCCGGGCGACGGGAAAACGATGCCACTGATACCTGGACCGGCTTTCTCAACCGGAAGAGAACCCGGAAATTTTCACCACACTTCATCTTCAACGAAAACCGACCTTTGCACCAGAGAACGATTATAGCCTGACAGCGCTAGCCGGGCAACACGTTTGACTCGGTTAAACCGCCATTGTGACAGGGGAGCGTTCATTGCGTCAAAGGGTGAAGATCGCTTTGGAGAAACTCGGTCCAGGTACGATGACATAACTTGAACACCAATCCGGGACGGTGGAAGGATTTAGTATGGGCGTGAAGATTGACGAATACAGGCGTTGGCCAGTGCCAGCCTCTCCTCCATTGCGGGGATTCTGGGGATCGCTTGAGTGGGGAAGTTTGAGGGAGAACATGGAAATGTTGTTCGGGACTTCCCCGACAATGACCAGGTGACTGTATCCTTTTATTTGTTGTTTTCTTTTATTTTGTTTTCTTTCTACAATACCCTATGCGTAAGGCTACATCCATGGTTCGATCTCTTCATGAGTCCATGCGCCGGTCGGACGCTGATTTGCCTCCGACATGTTAGGTATACATCTCAACTTGCCTATTTCCCCGGTTAGACGTTACCCTTACGCGATTTTTAATAAAATGATATTCCCTGATCTTCGATATACACGAATATGTGTACCCAAACGAGGCCGAAAAGCCGATGTGCGCTCCCATGAACCCCATGGCTGATGGCTCTCGACAGTGAAACTCCGAGCCAACTAATGATGTATCCCGGAGGCTACTCGTTCACGTACTCATGCTCCTTGAAGACGTTCTGAAGGATATCAAGTATCACAAATTCCTTGCGGGCATTGTACTCCATCACGGTTTCCCCGGCCAACCGACTAGCGGCAGCTGCCTGCCGTTTGACGTCTGCATAGCTTCGGCGGTCGTCCTCATGGTTTCGCAACCAGTCACGGAACAGCCGATGGCGAATAAGTTCCGCGCTGTTCGGACTAAATATATGGATATTCGCGTATGGGTCATTGAAACCGAAAAGGCGATGCTCATGCCAGCCAGGTTCGCGAAGCAAGAATTGAAAGCCCGCAGCCTCAAGGGCCGGCACGTAGGAGTCTTCCGCCGTGGGATCAGCTACGACGACGTCAACATCGATAACCGCTTTGGCGGGTAATCCGGGCACGCTGGTTGACCCGACGTGCTCAATAGAGAGAAGTCGGTTACCAAGGGCATCAGCAATCCGGCGTGCAATATTCGCAAACGACTCCGGCCATGTTGGGTCTGGCTCCACGATTTCAATCAACTTTTGCGGCCGTGTTGAAATGACTTCGACACCAGGTGGCATTTGAGACGACTTTGTAATCTCATTCGTGGAGGCCATCCTGGTAGCAAGCAAGGTCTTATGGTAATATAAATCTTACCGATGATGTTGCAGCTAGATCATACCTCCAGTGACCTGGAGGACAGTTTTGCGCAAGGTTGCATAAGCTGCTGGATGACTCAGACCAAGATCAATAACAATCCCCCAGACTCGTATTAGGCACCCAATAACTAAAGCGCAGCTAGTAACAATAAGGTATAGTCCTTTCCCTGGGTTCTTAAGACGAGAATGAACTTCCATATTGGACCATACTGTCTCCGTATACTGGTCTTTAGCGATTCAATGCCACGAACTTCGGTGCTTCTTGGCACACCTTCAACTTGTTTTCCGCCATTCCAGTCGCATTGAGCGATTGTGATTCCCATATCTACTTAGATCAGCAGATGTTCGATTTCAGCCACGCAGGAGCTTGAACCCTTGCAGCTTTGAAGCTCTCCCTCTCAAACAAACGCCCTTGTATCCAGTATTTACATGTGGACACTGTACTGTTCGAAAAATCGTTCATGCGCAACAACTCCAACCAACGTGGCCATCAGAAAAAACTATCAGAGCAATCCTGCACAAGAAGTATCACAAATACCTTCTTGAGGTTAGAAGTATGAAAAGGTCTTTGTTGTCGGAGAACGGCGAGAGGCATACTTCGATTACGTTATTTACCAACCAGGTGACCTGGGCCTCACTGGAAAGATGCCGACGATAACCTTGGAGGTGTAATACTGATTCCACGTTACCCGCGGAGAACACGCGACATCCTATACGTCCATTTTTTGCCTTTTTCTGAGTTGATAATTCATACCAAAAGAAAGGCCACTGTTGCAAGATGCGAGGGATCTTCACTGGATTTTGTATGGTGTTAGTCATCGTAAGTCAAGTGTTGCTTTCCCTTTTAGGCGGTTTATGAGGTATTTATGGTTCACCGGTCCGCTGACAAAGCGTTGCAGAATGTCTTGAACCCTCCGTACACCACCGTATCGGACCTGGATAGAAGGCCTAGAATGTCTGGCGAGGATGGCCAGGAGAAGATCCAAATGTCCAATGACCTCATGCCTCGTTGAACTCGAGACATCCACATATACGGCGTATGCACCATACCACTGGGTCGGCAATATGGCAAAGGTTAGCCGAATTGACCCGAAGATCACTGGTCTGGATAATTACATACGCGGCGGAATACCGTATCAATACCGGCCCGCCAGCTTCTGCTGGCAAAACCTCAAGAAAGCTTCTTGTCCCAACATCCTTTTTCCCTATACTATACCCTCCTTCCTTCTACCACCTGCAATTGCTGCCTCCCCTTTCCTCTCCACCTGCTTTAATTGGAGGATTGGCTGTCCATTATAATCGCTATCTTTCTTGTTTTTTTCTTCTCTAATTCCCCATCTTTGTCGCCATGTTCCGGAGTCTCTTGCCGCGGGCTGCACCGCGGGCTGCCCTCCGCACTGCTCGCCCTCAGCCTGTTCCTTCTAACTTCGTCACTGCTCCTACCCTCTCCTTCCTCTCGAAACGTGGCTACGCCTCCGAGTCTGGTATGTGTCCGGTTTTTCCTCCTGCGTCAGAACGGCCAGGGACAGGACCTGCGCTTCCGAAAACGGCTGAGATCGGTTACTGATGGGCGTTGGGATAGGTGAACATGACCTTGTTATCATCGGTGGTGGTGTCGCTGGTTACGTTGCTGCCATCAAGGCCGGTCAGGAAGGCTTGAAGGTGCGCTCAAATTCCCGGTGGACCTCGATCGGAGATTTTCTGCTAACCACGGAGCTCGCCGACAGACTGTCTGTATCGAGAAGCGTGGTCGTCTTGGAGGCACCTGCTTGAACGTCGGCTGTATTCCCTCAAAATCTCTCTTGAACAACTCCCACCTTTACCACCAGATTCTTCACGACACGAAAAAGCGCGGTATTGAGGTCGGTGATGTCAAGCTGAACCTCGAGCAGATGATGAAGGCCAAGGATACCTCCGTCGAGGGTCTGACGAAGGGTATTGAGTTCTTGCTCAAGAAGAACGGTGTCGACTACGTCAAGGGCACTGGTGCTCTTGTTGATCCTAACACTGTCAAGGTGAACCTGCTCGAGGGTGGTGAACAGACCCTTCGCGGAAAGAACATCCTCATCGCCACCGGTAGCGAGGCCACTCCTTTCCCCGGCCTCAACATCGACGAGAAGCGCATCATCACTAGCACTGGTGCTCTTTCGCTGCAGGAAGTTCCCAAGAAGATGGTTGTCATTGGTGGTGGTATCATTGGTCTGGAGATGGTATGCTTGCGACTTTTTGCAATGTGAGAGGTTGGAGACATCAAACTCCATACTAACGTTGATGATAGGCTTCCGTTTGGTCTCGTCTCGGTGCCGAAGTTACCGTTGTTGAGTTCCTGAACCAGATCGGTGGACCTGGTATGGATGCAGAGATTGCCAAGCAGGCTCAGAAGATCCTGTCGAAGCAGGGCATCAAGTTCAAGACCGGCACCAAGGTCGTGAATGGTGATGACAGTGGCGCTACTGTTTCGATTAACGTCGAGTCTGCCAAGGGTGGCAAGGAGGAGACCCTGGATGCTGACGTTGTCCTGGTTGCCATCGGTCGCAGACCTTACACCGAGGGTCTTGGCTTGGAGAACGTTGGTATTGAGAAGGACGAGCGGGGCCGTCTGGTCATCGACCAGGAGTACCGCACTAAGGTTCCTCACATCCGTGTCGTTGGTGACTGCACTTTCGGCCCCATGCTTGCCCACAAGGCTGAGGAGGAGGCTGTTGCCGCTGTTGAGTACATCACCAAGGGATACGGTCACGTCAACTACGGTGTCATCCCCAGTGTGATGTACACTCACCCCGAAGTTGCCTGGGTTGGTCAGAACGAGGCGGAAGTCAAGGCCGCTGGTATCAAATACCGCGTCGGTACTTTCCCCTTCAGCGCCAACTCCCGTGCCAAGACCAACCTCGATACCGAGGGTCAGGTCAAGTTCATTGCTGACGCTGAGACTGACCGTGTGCTCGGTGTTCACATCATTGGCCCCAACGCCGGTGAGATGGTTGGTGAGGCTACCCTGGCTGTTGAGTACGGTGCTTCTTGCGAGGACATCGCCCGGACGTGTCACGCTCACCCTACCCTCTCCGAAGCTTTCAAGGAGGCTGCCATGGCTACCTACTCCAAGGCCATCCACTTCTAAGTTCATGTTACCAATTCGCCATCTGTATCTTTTCTAGACTAGCTACGCTAGCAACCCTGTAGCATTTGACTGGTTATATTTCCTATGTTGGTTGCGTGTACTGAGACTTATGAATAAAAGACCTTATTCTTATCACAAAGAGTAACTCGACGGACTTCTCAGTCGCCAGGCGAGACTAATATTTGATTACTTGATCGTATTTCATGTGATGGTTTGGACTGAGCGACATGAAGAGATAGTTTCTAGCTGAATCTCTGCCAGCACGGAAGTGTCCTGTCATCGCGATGTTTCTATGGACTAATATCTAGAAGCAGGCACAACGGTTTACGCTCTATTCGGGAATCTGAAACACGTGGCCGGAGGATGTCGGCATCTGTCTGCTATACGTCATAGACGGCGCAAAGGGGAGCACCCATTCCTTCAAAACCGCAAGGAAGGCATTGCAAACAGCATCCACAGCCTGTTCACGAGACGCTCCACAGCTTTCAACATACACTTTCAAACAGTCAGTCATATAATCCAAAGGGCCCGGGATGTGTATGCCACTCACGCTTAACTTTCGGCTCCGTCCCTGAGGCGCGGAACGTAAACCGCACATCCTGGTCCAGCCAGAGAGTCAACATCTGGCTGGACTTATCAACCGGCAGCGTAGGCTTGTTGTCAGCTGTACCGGAATCATAGCCCTCGGTCATGTCTCGCCAGCGCAGAATCTTGAACGGGCCCAGGGTCTTCTCGGTTCTATACGGCCCATTCCGAATGGCTCCGAACAAAGCCATTGTTGTCTCCGGGTTCGGGGACCGGAAGTAATTGTTGAGGGTTTCGTAGTGGCCAAATTCCTTGAAGAGCTGCTGTAGTTTCATGTACGGGGTGAGTCCTTGCGACTGCCATTTGGCCTGTGCTGCTAGGAAGACCATTGCTGCTGTAATGCCGTCTTTGTCGTGGCAGACGGCTGGGAACATGTAGCCTAGTGCTTCTTCAAATGCGTAGGGGACAGTGTAGCCCTCGCCTTCGAGGCGTCGGGCGATGTTCCCCATCCATTTGAAGCCGGTTAGTGCCTCTTCGAATTGGATACCCCTCGCTGTTGCCATTTTCTCGACCATGCCTGTGGACACTGTGGAGTTTAGGACCGCGATGCGTGTGTCGTCCTTTTTGTTTTCCAGGGAATCGAATAGATGAGATGCGAGTAAGACTCCGATATGGTTGCCTGTGAAAGAAAACCATGATCCGCTGGATGCTTGGTCAGATCATCGATAGTTTTCAAAGATATCAGAGTGCAGCACGTACTCAACTTTCTCAGCGGCAGCAAAACGATCCGCATCTGGATCATGGGCAATGATCAAGGTTTTGCCTTCCTTGTCGGCGGTTTGCATAGCCAGATCCAAAGCTCCCGCTTCTTCGGGGTTGGGGAACGATACTGTGGGGAAATCCGGGTTGGGCTCTACTTGCTCCGGGACAGGAGTGAATTCGGTTACGCCCACAGACCGGCAGAGATCAGGGAAGACAAGGCCTCCAACTCCGTGCAGGGGTGTGTAGACAAAAGGCCTTGGTTGTTTCCAGTCAGACACAGTTGAGTTCTACATGAGTGATTAGCGCAGTGGGCAGCAAAGTGGATGGGCACTTACCGCGTAATCCCAAACCGTCTTTGTATAGTGAGGTAAGATGGTCTTATACGCATCAGCGTGTAGATATTCGCAAGCCTGGAGATCTTTCCAGGCACCAGGCCATGGGGCGAGGTTTTCCTCAATCGACTGGGCTATCTCTACATCAACGGGGGTGTTGATCTGGGCGCCGTTCTTGAAGTATCTGGAAGCATGTCAATGATAACTCAATGAAACAAATAAGCAAGTGGTAACGGACACTTTGTAGCCTATACAAAAAGTGGTTAGTAGGTCAAAATATCAGATCTGAAGGTTGAGGCTTACCATTATCTTGTGCCGGGTTCTACTGGGGAGTTAGTTCTATTTTTCATTTTCGTATTTGTATTAGAATCTTCGAGGGAGCACCTACATGGCTTGCGGTGATCATAATACCAGCAGCAGCTTTCAAGTGAGTTACTCCAAAGGGCACCGATGGAGTCACAGAGGGTTCGGAATAGAACCAAACCGGGATCTGCTGTGAGATGAAGGCATTCGCAGCCAGAGCTGCAAACTTGGCAGAGTTATGACGAGCATCATGACCGATAACCACTCCGCCCGAGGCAATATCTGTATGCTTCTCCTTTAAATACTTGGCCAGGCCTTGCGACGCTTGGATGACGGTTAAAGAGTTCATGCAGGAGAAGCCTGCCGCCATCCGGCCGCGAAGGCCTGCAGTCCCGAATTGAATTCCTATTGTTTACGGTTAACCTGAAGCGGGCGATACAATGAACATGTTTATGCCATGTCACATACGTTTCTGAAGCCGTTGTTCAAGATCGGCAATAGCGCCAGAGTCCCGAAGCTGTTGGATCTCGGCGCGGGTGGTGGGGTCCTGCGACGTTAGAATGGATCTGAAGCTTTCGGGGTCGGAGATATAAATATCGATGTCTACGTACTTGGTCCCACTCCAACCATTTTTGAATCAGTGGAGAAAGAGAGTCCTAGCCTGGTTAGAAATACAAGAGATTCATATGGACGGGGGTGACTACCATTATCGAACACGAAAGGTGATCATAAGATCTATTCTGAAAGAGGTAGGAGCAGGCAGCACCGAATAATCGAGGAGGATGCGGAAAAGGTGGAATGTTAGTGGACTGATTTAAAACAAAGATGGGGTGACGATCGACGCCGCGTTTCCAATTGCTCGAAAAGCCCACCGCTTCCCGTTACGAGACCCTCTCTCTGCAGCAGCCCTTCCACCAACTAACTACTAGCACTTCCCACTCCTTCTGATCCCTTGCTACCGTTTCCCCTTCTTTTTCTTTTCTTTTCTTTTTTTTCTTCTTCTTGTTTTTCTTCCTTCCTTACCTACGCAGGCCGTACGATGCTGACCCGAACTGCCTTACTCTACCGCGACGGAGCTGGATACGATCGTTCCCTAATTACCATGGCCGACGCTCTCAAGGCTGCCGCAACATCTGCATCCACGTCGAGGAAGGATGCCATCTTGTCACGACGGTGGATCGAAGGTCAGATAGCCGAAGGCAAGCATGTTCTTGTCTACGACGGCCGCGTTTTGAAAGTCGACGCATGGATCAAATTCCATCCGGGTGGTGACAAGTCGATCAAGCATATGGTGGGAAAAGATGCGACGGATGAGATCAATGCGTATGTGCTTGGGACATGTCGGAAAGCCTTCCTGGGTTACTGACAACCGCTCGGACAGGTTACATTCAAAGGAAGCGCGCCAGCGGATGTTGTCCTTCCAGATCGGACGCATCCAGGGTCCGTGGTTAAACTTCCTCCCACCGATTCAGGGCGGGAAGTTCCGCCCATATACCGAGGCAACTTGCACGTCAGATGAAGACAGTTCTAGTCAGGACATGTCTACACCGCCGTCTCCGATTTTCGATTCAGTCGACGCTAAGTCCGGCCTCCGCCGGCGAAAGTCTGTTTCCTCGGATACGTCCGTTTCCACCTCAGCTACCCCAGAGTTTGAGCCAAAGCCATTCTTCCTCGACGCTCGAACCCAGGAAGAGATCGTCCTTGATGTTGCCAAGTACCCGTCATTGGATACCGAAAGCCAGGAGAATATCAAGAAGCAATATCGTGCGTTAGACCAGCGGATTCGCGATGAAGGCCTATACGACTGCAACTATTTCGCTTACTTCATCGAATGCTGCCGCTATACGCTCTTTGCGGCTCTGTCTTACCTATTCCTCCGGTTGGGTTGGTATGCCACCTCGGGATTCTTTTTGGGATGCTTCTGGCACCAGCTCGTCTTTACCGCCCATGATTCAGGCCATATGGGCATTACCCATCATTTCCACGTCGATAGTGTGATTGGCATCATCATCGCCGACTACCTTGGAGGTCTAAGCCTAGGATGGTGGAAGCGCAACCACAATGTCCACCATATTGTGACCAATGCACCTGAGCATGACCCCGATATCGAACACATGCCCTTCTTTGCCATCTCTCACCGTTTCCTCACCAGTCTCCGCAGCACGTACTATGAACGTATTATGACGTTTGACGCTTTTGCCAACTTCATGCTGCGCTATCAGAACTACCTTTACTATCCGATTCTCTTGTTTGGTCGCTTCAACCTGTATCGCCTGAGCTGGGTATATCTGCTGTGCGGTCAAGCGCCGAAAAAAGGCCCCGCTTGGTGGCACCGGTGGTTCGAGCTGGGTGGCCAAGTCTTCTTCTGGTATTGGTTTGGGTACGGTGTGGTGTACCGTAGTATTCCCGACTGGAGTAGCCGTCTGATATTCATTTTGGTCTCGCACATGGTTACCGCCCCGTTACACGTGCAGATCACTCTCTCCCATTTTGCCATGTCGACGGCGACCTAGGTGTCCACGAGTCCTTCCCCCAGAAGATGCTTCGCACCACCATGGATGTTGACTGCCCAACCTGGCTCGACTTCTTCCACGGCGGTCTGCAGTTTCAGGCCATTCACCACCTGTACCCACGCATCCCACGCCACAACCTGCGTCGTACCCAGAAGTTGGTCATGGAATTCTGCCGTGACACTGGCATCCCGTATGCCGTCTTCACCTTCTACGATGGCAACAAAGAGGTTATCGGAAAGCTTGGTGATGTCGCGAAGCAGGTCCGTATTCTTGACGAATGCCGGAAGTCTTGCGCCCAGCAGGGCGTCTTCTCAGACCACCACTAGATGGCCACCCTGATTTTCAAAATGCGTACCGCCCCACTGATTTACCGTGGACTCTGCGATCAACTGCATACTCTGGCCCCGTGTATATATTGCACAGTTGTATATAATCATGCCTGCGGACTGTCTTGGAGTAAGGGTATCGGCCACAGTTGCAAGATTTGATGTCGACAGACTCGTAATGCCCTATTGATGATGTGATAATGTCCCTCAGTTTGACGTTGGTTATTATTTATATGTATGAGCTTCCACTTAGAGAGTAGAATCACAATCATACTGTATGACTTACAAATCCACATTCCCTTACATATACTGGTTCAGAGATCCGCTTTCTATATATTCAATAACACCCATCATCCGGGGTCTATTAACTAATGCAGTATGTACATAAACCACGAGACTCTATGGTCATCATCACAGCATGATTGAAAATCACCATCCATCAGCTAGCATTACCCCATCATACCCCCAGCCCGCGCCACCTTCTTCGCCCTCTGCTGTCGACGATTATGATTCGCCCTACTGCCCTTATTCTCCTCCTTCCTCTGCCGCTGCGCAGCCGTATTCCCGTCCCCGGAGCCACCTCCTGCATTACCACCACGCCCGCGTCCAGCACCACCACCACCTCGTCGACCACCACGACGCGCCCCCTACCGGGCCCCCCTCTACCACGAGACCCAGAGCCAACCGGCTCATCAGTCTCACTGCCTGACTCCCCATCGCCCCTAGGTCCAGGCCTCCGATAAGCCGTCGGCTTAATCTCCGGCTGCGTAAGACCTGTCCCACCAGGCCCGACCTCCGAAAGCGATAACCGATCCTCCAACCTCGCCAGCCGCTTCGAATCGCGCGCCAGCATAACAGCCCACCCCTCAATCGCCTCATCCGTCATGCCCGTCTCGCGCTTCAGCGAAGCTCGTGGCTGCGACCGACGGGTCGCCGAGTCCCGAGCAAACAGCGCCGGCGTAGCCTTGTACGTCCGGAGCAGCGTGAGATCGAGCTCGTCCGCTTTGTGTTTCGCATCGGCGTCTGTGTCAGTGGTGGTGGCGTCGACGGTGCCGCCTACGTCTGCTACGTCGTATGTATCGTCGCGTTCGTCATCGTCCGAGTCGAAGCTCGCCAGCGCAGACATGATGGCCGCTTTGTTGACGGCGTGCTTGCTGCGATCTGCGAGGATGTCGTCGGCTGTTTGGTCTGGATTTGCGCGGCCGAAGCGCAATTTGTCTGTCTCGGCGAGGTCGGCTAGGTCGACGTCTTTGTCGAAGATGTTTTTGCGGGGTTGA